GAAACTAAGAAAAAAGAGAAACCATTGGATAAAAAAGTAAAACGTGTCGAAAAAATTGATGACGTTAAAGAATCTGTTATTAAAGTTGCAGAAACAAAAAAAACTGATTCTGATATGAAATCAAAACCGGAGGGTAAAAGAAAATTTGAAGCCAAAGTGAAATCTGATACAGTCAGTTCGACTGTTAAAAGCAAAATTATTCATCGAGCTACTCAGAAAAAGATTGCATCAACCGTAAGCGAAAGAAAAATAATTTCGGAAGATAAAAGATCACCGCCAACAACACCAAAGAAAGTTGTTGAACCTAAGTCTATTACTGGTGTACCAGCCAGCAAAGAAAAAGTGAAAGCAAAAACAAGAAAACTTAGCCCAGGAAGCACACCTGCGAAAAGCGTAAAGGAAGCAAGCAACCGTAAAGTTGTCGAGTCCAAATACAAACAAGCATCTCCGAAACGCGATGTTATTCAAAAATCATTAGATAAGAAGGAAATGAAACCCAAACGAGAACCAATGTTCAAGAAGACCGAGACCATTGGTTTCTCCTATAAAAGGTCTAAAGACCATGAAAAGCCCATCAAAAACCGTTAAAGGAACAAAAAGTGATGCTGCAAAAATAAAAGGCTTACAAAGAGTTAATTATGAAGACATCTTAAAAGATGCTAAGAAATCTGATGAAGACACATCCAAATCTCTTGATGATATAAAGCAGCAAGAACTAGATGAAAGAGAGGAACAGGAAATCGTAAGGGAAATAGAAGCAGTATTTAACAGAGATAGCGAAGCTGAAGAAAAAATAGAATATATAGGTCGGTCAGATATAGAAAAAATCACTTGCTTAATTGATGATACCAAGACTGATATAGCTGGTGATGCCGAATTTGAAGAAGAATATTTAATAATAGAAAAGGAAGAAGTAAGTCAATACCCAGAGGTTTCGGTTTTAGTTCGTGAGCTTGATCCTAAGAAAGATGATTATGAAAAAGAACTGCAAAAGCATATTAGAGATAAAGAAGAGTCGGAAAAACTGAAAGGCGATGAAAAACCTAGCTACGATAAAATAAAAACAGAAACTGAGAAAAAATCGAAGCCGGATTCAAAAGAACATTCCGAAAGTGTAGAGGAAAAGCAAGATATTAGTAGTGAAAAGAAAACAACAGATAGTAAGAGTGGAATTTTAAAACCTAAAGATTCTCTTGAAATTTATCTTGTACAGGAATCGCAACCAGACGAAAAAATTTCAACAACAGTTGAATCAGGAGCAACTACTGCTCCAACTCTTCCTGAAGATGAACGTATAACTTTAGATGAAATAAAGGAAGACCAGCAAATAGAAGAAAAACATATAAAAGAGCAGACAAAGGAAATAGTTGCGCCACAAACACTTACTGATATTTCTAAATATGTACTTACTGAAAAGAAACCGAAAGTTGAAGGACTACCAGCTCCCGTAAGAGAAGTTGTAAAAACACCAGATGAAGTTGCTGACCTTCCCTTACACGAAGAGGTGGATTATAGAACATTTGAAGAAAAGAAAACACCAATAGAAGAAGATATCTTGAAGTTGAAGCATGTCGCTATTATACAAGATATGAAAGTTCCATGTGACTTACCATTGGTAGATAAATCTCTTGTAAAAGGAATAAAAACGGTGGAAAACGTAGTTATTAAAACTCTTGAACGACCATCACACCCTGAGCTCGTAACAGTTACACCAGGCTCAGCACCTGAGTCACCAATATACCCAGGGCAAGCAAAGATTTTGGGAGTAACTGGAAAAGATCTAGAACCCGTCAAAGAATTTGACGATGATCATTTTATGTACACACCGTATACAGAAAAATTACGAGAAACTCATATTACGACACTTGATTCTCCAATTAAAGAAGAAATTGTTATTATTGAGGAAACCTCTGAAAAAATACCCTCAATTCCTGAAGATGTTGAAAGAGAAATTGAGGAAGCACGTACGCTTGAAATATCAGAAAAGCCACCTCTTAGCCCTAAAGATGTAGAACGTATCGTTGCGGACGTCGCAGAAGTTTTAAAATCTGACAAAAGTCTTGATGAACTTATAGCTGAAAGGTCTCCAATGCTTCGAAAGTCTCCAGAAACTTTTATTAAAGACGATGAAACGGATATCGAAGTTACAAAAAGGTTTATTGACAACGAAAAACAGTTAAAGCCTGATTTAATTAAAATAACAGATGTTGCTAAAGATAAACTTGTTTACTTTGAAAAACATGATAAAGAAGTATCACCTGTGAGATCAGTTACATCTGAAGAAATAAGCGACATATCTGATAAAACCGTTTTAAGTGAAAATAAGAAAATTAAACGTGAAGTCAAAAAATATATCGAAGATTTTACAGTAAGGGACAGAATTGCAACTGATGTTGTTAAACCAGAAGATTCTGTACCTTTAAAGAAGATCGAAAATGGTGAAATTGATAAAGACCAACAAGGAAAAAGGGAAAAAAGACTGAGCGTAACGTTGGATTCTGCAAAAACACTAGAAAAACTGGATGAAAAATTATCAAATTTAAAGAAAAAGGAGGATTCTACTCACTTGCAATTACATCACAGAAAGTTACAAGACTTTGACTCGGTTGATAAGTACGCTACCGAATTACACGTAAAAGACATAATCACTGAAAAGCAAAGACAATATGTCGATGAACCACACATGGAAAGAAAATCTCATAGCCCAGATAAATTTGAAATCGACACAACAGTATTGGACAAAACAGAACCGCAAGCAGTCATCACCATCGATTCAAAGTCAAGAAGTCCGAAAATTGACTCAGATATTCTTCTCAAACAAGTTTTTGAACAAGAACTTGTTTCTGAGGAGAAAGATCAGGTTTATTTGAATAAATACTTAACTGGAAAAACAGAACTCGATTCAGAAGTGCACCAAGTATCTTCAGATATGGAAATGGAATACAAAAAAGACAGTTCTACAGTAGTATTAGAAGAAACACAAGACAAAGTAAATATTTCCGATTCAAAAAGTGCAGAGAAAAAACAAGAAAAAGTTTTATCACAAAAAGTTATCGTTTCTGACCAACTTGACGAAAAGCAAGTAAGTTTAGAAAAAGATAGAGCTATCGATGGTGGACTGGGTGGACACCCAGAAGAAAAGTCTTCTTTATCACTTGATATAAAACAATCCACAATGCAAGAATATAGCCTCAAACTTAATAACCTTATAAAAAGATCTGGTATCACAGAAACAAATTTACTAAGCTTAGTTGAAGATTTCGAATGCGATCAAAGAGTTCAAAGTTATAAAGAAATATCTGAGCCTAGGAAAATAGATGAGGAAACGCTAAAGTTGAATCTAATAGGCCTCATCCCCATAGATGACCCTGAAGAAATACAGATAACAAGAAATTTTGTCATTGAAGATAGGAATATTGTCGTCGAAAGGAATATAGCGACCACAACTATAAAAACTAAATATTGTAATACAAATGGCTTATTGGTCAAATTAACAACATTAATACAAACAATTATAAAAGACAAGCAGCCGGATGGTTTTTTAATAACAAATGTATGTACAAGTCATTATATATCGGATATAACTTCCATTTCTACTGAAAGTAAAAAACCGAGAGAACTTGGGTTGATAAAAATATGTGAAAATATAATAGAAGACATCAGAACATCGGCCATTGATGCAAGCGAGGCATCACAGTTGCTTAGTGAAAATGAAGCTGAATCAATTCTCACGGAGCTAATTCAGATAAGTGAACCGGAAAGCTATGAAATAAACACAGTTAAGCGATTTCCTATAAAAAATGTAAATATTATTCAGTTTGTTAATCGCAAAATAGTAACGAGAATTACTAAAACAAAGTACTACCACGAGAAAGCGTCTGCTTTTAAAATTATGACGATAACTTCAACTACGACCACAGATACTTTCGATGACAGCTCAACAAACACAAATCAAGAAAAGTGCATATTTATAACAGATATAACATATGGATTAGAGGAATTACGAAAAACCTTTATACAGCAAATAAAAGATCTAAAAGCGTTTGATGAAATCGGAGAACCTGTTAAAATAATATCGAAAGAAGAGACTTCTATTACAAAACAAAGTATAACCATCAGAAGACAAATTAATATAACGACAACAAAACAACTGTTAATTCATCGTGAGAAGAAACAAAAGATTTTAAAGCTATCAACAAAGGAGATTACTAACGATTATTATCCTGACAGTTCTGTTGTAACGAAAACAACGGAAGAAATTTCTTACGACTATGATATAATAGATATATCAAAGGACGAAGTCTTGGAAAGAAAATACGAAAAAGTATCAAGCGATTTAAGAGCGCGATCATCGCCTCAGGAAGATAAATCACCAAGTTATCTTGAGATTGCAAAAAAGGAGCTTCTAACTGAAAAGGAGGAGGACAAACTAATGAAATTATTTAGCGAAAATGACATATCACTCGAAGGTGAAATAAAAAAGAAGACATCAAGTCCAATTGCTGCCGAGAAAAAAGCGCCCCTTGACTCGATATCAAAGGAAAAGTCACCAAGTCCTGTTGGGACTTTAGATAAAGAAGTTTCAGTGGAAAAGAGGGCAGGAAGGATAAGTCACCAAGTCCTGTTGAGGCATTTGATAAAGATCTTCCCACAGCAAAGAAGGAATTGAAGACAACGACTATTCCTAGCCAGGAGTTGCCAGTCAAAGAAGAAGTAAAGACAAAAGACCTCAGCCCCTTGGCCATCGACGAGAAGGTACCTATTGATAAATCTCAGAAGGATAAGTCACCAAGTCCTGTTGAGGCCAAAGAAAAGGAGGTTCCCACTGAAAAGGTGGAAGAGAAACCAACGACAAAACCTAGTGAAAAAGATATTTCAATCGCAGATGAAATGAAGGACAAGACCCCAAGTGCCTTGACTGCTGAGGAAAAGTGGCCCTTGACAAGATACCAAAGGAAAAGTCACCGAGTCCTGTTGAGGCTTTAGATAAAGATCTTCCAATGGAAAAGATAAAAGAGAAGCCAACGGCAATTCCCAGTGAGGAGATGCTAGTCAAAGAAGAAGTAAAGACAAAGGACCTCAGCCCCTTGGCCATCGACGAGAAGGTACCTATTGATAAATCTCAGAAGGATAAGTCACCAAGTCCTGTTGAGGCCAAAGAAAAGGAGGTTCCCACTGAAAAGGTGGAAGAGAAACCAACGACAAAACCTAGTGAAAAAGATATTTCATTCGCAGATGAAGTGCAGGACAAAACACCAAGTGCCTTGACTGCTGAGGAAAAAGCGCCCTTTGACAAGATGCCAAAGGAAAAGTCACCAAGTCCTGTTGAGGCTGTAGATATAGATCTTCCCATGGAAAGGAAGGAAGAGAAGCAAATGCCGATTTCCAGTGAGGAGATGCTAGTTAAAGAAGAAGTAAAGACAAAGGACCTCAGCCCCTTGGCCATCGACGAGAAGGTACCTATTGATAAATCTCAGAAGGATAAGTCACCAAGTCCTGTTGAGGCCAAAGAAAAAGGAGGTTCCCACTGAAAAGGTGGAAGAGAAACCAGCGCCACTACCAAGTGAAAAAGATATTTCAATCGCAGATGAATTAAAGGATGAGACACTAATTGCCTCGACTGCTGAGGAAAAAGTGGCCCTTGACAAGATACCAAAGGAAAAGTCACCGAGTCCTGTTGAGGCTGTAGATAAAGATCTTCCCATGGAAAAGAAGGAAGAGAAGCCAACGACAATTCCTAGCGAGGAGATGCCAGTCAAAGAAGAAGTAAAGACAAAGGACCTCAGCCCCTTGGCCATCGACGAGAAGGTACCTATTGATAAATCTCAGAAGGATAAGTCACCAAGTCCTGTTGAGGCCAAAGAAAAGGAGGTTCCCACTGAAAAGAAGAAGAAAAGGTGGATATTTCAATCGCAAGAAAAGGACAAGACGCCAAGTGCCTTGACTCCGTTGACAAGAGGAAAAAACCAAGTCCTGTTGAGATATTTCAAGAGATTTCATTCGCAGATGAAATGAAGGACAAGACCCCAAGTCCCTTGACTGGACAAAGGACCTGAGGAAAAAGCGCCCTTTGACAAGATGCCAAAGGAAAAGTCACCGAGTCCTGTTGAGGCTGTATAAAGATCTTCCCACTGAAAAGAAGGAAGAGAAGCCAACGACAATTCCTAGCGAGGAGATGCCAGTCAAAGAAGAAGTAAAGACAAAGGACCTCAGCCCCTTGGCCATTGACGAGAAGGTACCAATTGATAAATCTCAGAAGGATAAGTCACCAAGTCCTGTTGAGGCCAAAGAAAAGGAGGTTCCCACTGAAAAGGTGGAAGAGAAACCAGCGCCACTACCAAGTGAAAAAGATATTTCAATCGCAGATGAATTAAAGGATAAGACACCAAGTGCCTTGACTGCTGAGGAAAAAGCGGCTCTTGACAAGATACCAAAGGAAAAGTCACCGAGTCCTGTTGAGGCTGTAGATAAAGATCTTCCCATGGAAAAGAAGGAAGAGAAGCCAACGACAATTGCCTAGCGAGGAGATGCCAGTCAAAGAAGAAGTAAAGACAAAGGACCTCAGCCCCTTGGCCATCGACGAGAAGGTACCTATTGATAAATCTCAGAAGGATAAGTCACCAAGTCCTGTTGAAGCCAAAGAAAAGGAGGTTTCCACTGAAAAGGTAGAAGAGAAACTAACGCCACTGTCTAGTGAAAAAGATATTTCAATCGCAGATGAAGTAAAGGACAAGATACCAAGTGCCTTGACTGCTGAGGAAAAAGCGGCTCTTGACAAGATACCACAGGAAAAATCACCAAGTCCTGTTGAGGCTCTAGATAAAGATCTTCCCATGGAAAAGAAGGAAGAGAAGCCAACGACAATTCCTAGCGAGGAGATGCCAGTCAAAGAAGAAGTAAAGACAAAGGACCTCAGCCCCTTGGCCATCGACGAGAAGGTACCTATTGATAAATCTCAGAAGGATAAGTCACCAAGTCCTGTTGAGGCCAAAGAAAAGGAGGTTCCCACTGAAGAAGGTAGAAGAGAAACTAAAGCCACTGTCTAGTGAAAAAGATATTTCAATCGCAGATGAAGTAAAGGACAAGACACCAAGTGCCTTGACTGCTGAGGAAAAAGCACCCGTTGACAAGATACCAAAGGAAAAGTCACCAAGTCCTATTGAGGCTCTAGATAAAGATCTTCCCATAGAAAAGAAGGAAGAGAAGCCAACGACAATTCCTAGCGAGGAGGTGCCAGTCAAAGAAGAAGTAAAGACAAAGGACCTCAGCCTCTTGGCCTCCGACAAGAAAGTACCTATTGATAAACCTCAGAAGGATAAGTCACCAAGTCCTGTTGAGGCCAAAGAAAAGGAGGTTCCCACTGAAAAGGTGGAAGAGAAACCAACGACAAAACCTAGTGAAAAAGATATTTCATTCGCAGATGAAATGAAGGACAAGACCCCAAGTGCCTTGACTGCGAGGAAAAAGTACCCCTTGACAAGATACCAAAGGAAAAGTCACCGAGTCCTGTTGAGGCTGTAGATAAAGATCTTCCCATGGAAAAGAAGGAAGAGAAGCCAACGACAATTCCTAGCGAGGAGATGCCAGTCAAAGAACAAGTAAAGACAAAGGACCTCAGCCCCCTTCCAATCGATGAGAAGGTACCTGTCGATCAATCTCCGAAGGACAAGTCACCAATTCCTGTTGTGACCAAAGGAAAGGAGATTCCCACTGAAAAGGTAGAAGAGAAACCGACGACAATACCTAGTGAAAAAGATATTTCATTCGGAAATAAAGTGAAGGACAAAACACCAAGTGCCTTGACTGCTGAGGAAGAAGAGCCCTTTGACAAGATGCCAAAGGAAAAGTTACCAAGTCCTGTCGAGACTTTAGAAAAAGAAGTTTCAGTGGAAAAGGAGGAAGAGAAGCCAGCGACAGTTCCAACTGAGACGGTGGTGCCAGTCAAAGATGAAGTTGCGAAAAAAGATGTCAGCCCCTTGGTGATTGATGAGAAGGTACCTGTCCATAAATCTCAGAAGGATGAGTCACCAAGTCCTGTTGAGGCCAAAGAAAAGGAGGTTCTCACTGAAAAGGAGGAAGACAAGCCAACTACTCTTCCTAGCGCAAAGCAGTCACATATCTTAGATGAAGTTAAGGAGAAAACACCGGGCCCCTTGACTGCCGAGGAAAAGATACCACTTGACACGATATCAATGAAAAAGTCACCAATTCCTGTTGATACTTTGGATAAAGAACGTCCCATTGAAATAAAGGAAGAGAAGACAACTTTAACTCCAAGTGATAAGGAAGATCCAGTCAAAAATGGAATAGAAACAATAGGCCTCAGCCCCTTGGTGATCGATGAGAAGGCGCCTCTCGATAAATCTCAGAAGGATGAGTCACCAAGTCCTGTTGAGATTTTGGATAAGAACCTTTCAGTTGAAAAGAGGGGAGAGAAGTCAGCGACAGTCCGAACTGAGAAGGTGGTGCCAGTCAAAGAAGAAGTACAGACAAAAGACCTCAGCCCCTTAGCCATCGATGAGAAGTTACCTGTTGATAAATCTCAAATGGCTATATCATCAAGTGCTGTTGAGCCCGCAGAAAAGGAGCTTCTCACTGAAAAGAAGGAAGAGAAGCCAAAGACTCCTCTAAGCGAGAAGCAGACACAATTCTTAGATGAAGTAAAGGAGAAGATACCAAGTCCCTTGGCTGCCGAGGAAAAAGCGCCCCTGGAAACGATATCAAAGGAAAAGTCACCAAGTCCTGTTGAGACTTTGGTTGAACTTCCCATTGAAAAGAAGGCAGAGAAGCCTACCTCAAGTCCTAGCGAGAAGGAGGTGCCAGTCAAAGAAGAACAAGCGACAAGAGACCTCAGCCGCTTGGCAGGCGATGAGAAGTTGTCTGTCGATAAATCTCAGAAAGATAAGCAACTCAGTCCTATTGAGACAACAGGAAAAGAGCTTCCCATTGAAAAGATGAAAGAGAAGCCAACAACTCTTCTTAGGAAGAAGGAGACATCATTGGAATCGTCATATAAAACAACTGCTGATGGAACATCCGATAGTATAGTATTGCGGGAAGATTTGTGTGATGATGCAAAATCTTCATGGATTAATGATAAAAGTGTACAAATTTCAGATAAGAAAATTGAGTCGAAATTCTTTAATGGACATTCAAAAGAACCTAAAATAGATTTCCATATTGACGAAACTCATTCTAAAGATACTACTAAAGAATCTTTCTTTTCTGATGTGAGTGATAATAAAGCATTATTGAAAGAGGAAATCGAAACAAAAGATGAAAAAGATCTTGATAAATTTACCGGTGATAAACGATCGATTGTTGAATCTACTGTCAGACATGTGTTCGACATTAGTGATCAAAATGTTCTTACAAAAACTGATTCTTCACTCAGAAAAGAATCATGCTTTCCACAAACAGCCTCGGACGAAACTGTACTCGACTTTGACGATAAATTATCTTCAATCTCTACTATTGATAGTGGAATTATAGATAGAGATAGTTATACTCATACTTTGTTACATGGGAGCAGTTCTGAAGATGTTTCAAAAGAAGGCAGTTTAGAAGAAAAATATAGTTATGAAAGTACAGAAAAATCCGAAAAGAAATCTCCCCAAACGCTTAAAGATCAGAAATTAACATTAGATGAAATTGAAAGTCACACCGACAAATCAAAGGAAACAAATGAAACAGAAACACAGAGGTTTGCCGAGACACATCTTCTTGAAAGTGTTAAGAAAGCATTTACGGGAGAAATCGTCCAACAAGGAATTAAAACAGAAGAAGTTCAGTCAATACCAATTCGTACAAAAATTGACAGGGTAGGAACTCCTCCTACTGTACCCGTAAGTCCATTACCAAAAACTCCAAGTAGTTATCAAGATATTAAAGTTTCTGATGGTGTTCAGAGTGAACTTAAGTATGACAAACTCCATGGATCCGAGGAGACAATAAAAAAAATTGTGCATGTGGGAGAAGATATTTTAACGCAAAAGATCTCGACATCTACGGAAAAGGTATCAAAACCACTTAAGGCTGATAAAGAAGACTATGATGATGAATCTGAAATGTTATCTTTACTGCAAACAATGGGAAAAATAAAAACTGAAACAGATACTGTCACGAAAATTATAAAAGAAGGTGAAAATGTTCTGACACAAACAATTACCACGGTAACAACAAAAGAAATCATTTCTAGGGAAGATGGCACACCTCAAAATGTGAAAACTACTATTGAAACTACAACCTTAAGTAAAAGTTCAGATGGCTCAACGACAACTACAACAGATACTCAGACATTACTTTCCGAGTGTTCTTCTACTCTCAGATCAACTTCTCAGATGGATTTATATGATAAAGATAGAAAACTGGATAAATTTTACTTACAACATAGCGACGATAAATCTGAATCGGAAAAAAGCTGTCCGGTTCAATTTATTAGCAATGAAGAAGCACCCGAGCCTGATTCGCCTTTTATTACCAAAGGTGAACAGTTTATAATGGAAGATGTTGAAAATGATAGCCGCATAGAAGATACTATTATAGATACTGATGTTAGTAAGAAAATAATAAAGGAAAATAATATTGACATAATCGAAACTATAACTACTACAACTAAAAAGGAAACTTTACGAATTGACGATAGTAAGACAATTATAAGAACTACTATAGAAACAAACAAAACAAAGGAATATCCTGATGGTGCCAAAGATGTTCAAAAGAACGTGGAAGTAAAAACTGAAGAAATAACTATCGACTCAAGTAGCAACCTTGACAAATTGCTTTGTGACTTCACTGTATCTGGTGAACCAGAAGAATCCGTCTCTTCGGAAACTGAACGTATAACATGCGACGGTTTTGTTATCAAACGGACAATATTAACAAAAATAATAAAAACACATTATGTTGATAGCTTTGGCGTTCCAAAGAAATTAAAGACTGTTACTATTGTAACAACGACTGATGAATATCCGGATGGCTCTTTGCAAACTAAAGTTGACAGTAGTACATCATTAGAAGATGTAGAAATGGAAGACGTAATTGAAAAATCGGAACTGACTGAATACACAGTTCTTGAGGACAAATCAGTGGACGTGAATCGTCAAGAAACAAATATGACACTAAATGGCAGGATAGTTCCACAAATTATAACAACAACAACCACAAAAGAAGTTCTAAGTACAAAAGATAAAATAAAGAAAAAACTTAAGACTACTGTAGAAACAGTCACAGAGTCATTACTACCAGACGGTTTAACGGAAGTTACAAAAGATATTAAGATATCCATTTCTGATTATGAAAACCATCGTGATCAAATGGATTCTTTAGATGGACTTGTACAAATAGGAGAACCTATAGAAGATTCGAACACAGAAATAGAAACTATTACAGACTCCGGTGTAACAATAAAAAGAAAAACAACAACCATCACAAAATTACAATATTTTTATAATACAACTAATAATCTGAGAAGATCAAAAACGACAACAACTACTATAGTTGAAGATGAGCATCCTGATGGTTCTGTGATAACGAAAACAAGTGAAAAGGTTACCATTTTAGATGAAGAATTGAAAGATGAAGGCATCTCAGGTGATGGTATAAGTGAAGATCAGATACAAGCAAAGAAACTTGCTACAATTCTTAAAGACCTTACTCCTGTTGGTAATTCCCAGGTCTATGAAAATGAAGAATTCCAAGACATTGTAGAGAATGATTGCAAAATAAAGCGATCAATAAATACTAAAATTATAAAAACTAATTATTGTGATTCTCGAGGTATTCTATCAAAGACGAAAACCGTTAAAATCGTGACAACGACAGACCAATTTCCAGATGGCTCATCACGCACAAATATAGATACAAGTACTTCTATCTGTGAAATTGATTCAAATAAAATAATAGAAAATATTTCTGCTCCGGGTGATTTTAAGAGGAAAGACGATGCGAATGTAACAATTGAAAAAACGTCTAACAAAGTTTTTAGAGATGGAAAAGAAATCCAGCAAGTAATCACTACTATTACAACAAAAGAAATAGTACCCGAAGGCCAAAATACAAAAATTAGGACGACTGTAGAAACAATCACTGAGTCTACTTTACCAAATGGTGACATTGAAGTGTCTAAAGATGTTAAAGTATCCATTACGGATTCTGAAAAAGAAGATACATTTGAAGAAACATTAAATGGATTTAATAAAATTGGAGAACCAAATATTCAAATGAGTTCTGATACAGAACAGATTTTAGAAAATAATGTTATGATCGCGAGAAAAACAACAATTACCACGATTAATCAAGAATATGAAAATATTCTAACGAAATGTAAAAAAGTCAAAATTACTGTTATAACTGTAGTCGAAGACACATATCCTGATGGAACAGTTATAACGAAAAGAAATGAGAAGGTATCAATCGGAGATGTTTGTTCAGAAACTTCGTTAATAAACGAAGATAAGGAACCAACAGACTCCGGTGCTGAAGATGCTGAGGTTGTGGAAGACACGAGTGAGGATTCAGATATTAAAAGTGAAATTGTTAAACAGGGTTCCATAACTATAAGACGCACAATAACGACTAAAACAAAACGAGAAACTCTGGCCAGCGCGGATAAAAATATTAAAAGAGTACGAACAACCGTCGAAACTACAACCGTCGATGAGTATCCGGACGGTTCAGTCGAAACTACAAAAGATGTAAAAATTACGATATCGGAATTTCAAAAAACTTCAGATAGTGATTTGCAGGCTGCCCTTCAAGGTTTTATATCAACCGGAAAAATAAAGTCATCAACTGATAGACAGACTAATGTGTTATCAGAAAATATCACGCAGAACATTACTACGTATGTAACCAAAGAAGAATTCAAAAATAATGAAACAAACGAGATTGCTGTTAAAACTGTTACTGAGACAGTGACAGAAAATGCCCACGATGACGGAACTGTTGAAACAACAAAAGATGTCCGAACTCAAATAACATACCTTCCACCTGGTACGGGTTTAGATGATTGGTCCCCAGAGGATATAGAACAAATTGCAAAACAGCCCAAACTTCAAGAGGATAGACCTAAAATCGATGATTTAAATTTCGAAGGTAAAATTGAACCGCGGGTGAGCGAAAAGCCTAAAAAGCAACGGTCCCCAGTGGGAGAAATTACCACTGATACTGAAACATTCACAAAAATTATAAAAGAAGGAGACAACGAAATAACCCAAACAATCACAGTTGTGACAACAAAAGAGGTCATTAGTCCGGAAAAAATTAAGGTCACTGTTGAAACTACCACCGTAAGCAAAGGCAGTGATGGCATTACTAAAACTACGAAATCGACTAAGACTACAATATCAGAATTCAAAGAAGAGTATGAAGAAGTTATTGATACTGGTGGAAGTGAAAAATCTTTCTCTAAGCTCTCGTCCAAAACGGGTGACATGCGAAGTTCTTCCGCCGCTAGCGACGATCTGGACCACCCTGGCATTTCAACACCACCTTCAGACATTAGTTCAAGAGGATCACGTACAGCCACTCATATATGGGGCACTGAGAGTAGTGGCATGTATTACAGTGATGACGATGGCCAATGCAGTCCAAGTAGCACGAAGTCTCAAATAGCACACTCACCCCGATCAAATGTTAGCTTTGAGCTTGATCCCAAAACAGCACAGCAATCGGATATATGTTCGGATATTCCAATGGAAAAGTCGGAATATGACACAACACTAATATACAAAGACACATCGTCCTCTGTTCGTTTGGGACAAATCGTCGATAGTGACTCATGCACATCTTCTTCTTATTCCGAAGTTAAATCTGAAGTTCATGTCGACCACAAGAGGGTAAGTAAAACAACGGAGGAATTCCTATCGCACGAGAAGTTAAGCTCAGGTGTAGAGAAACGTAGCATTAAATCTGATGCCACTTTCCTTAAGGAAGCTGATGAACAATTCGAGAAAGCAATAGAAGAACATAAAAAAGTGAGCGGATCAGATGTAATATCTAGTATCACGGCGAAATACGAATTAGACCAACAAAGTCATTCTATTAGCAGTCATCAAATGTCAACAAAAGAGGAGAACAAAATTACACTGAAAGACCTTAAATCGGAATCGAGGAAAACTTCTGAGGCAACATCATCTTCAACTTTAACAACACAAACATCAAAGTATGAATCCAGATCGAGTGATCGAAGCGATCCAATAGAGTCCTGGGGCAAGCCCTTAGGTCTGCCTAGCCCTATTCAACCGCCAAATCAGAGCGACGGTAAGAATACTCCTAAGAAGCAAGTGCCTATTTCGAATGTTCAAATCAAGAACAAAATAAATCAGGAGAAAAGCAAAGAAGCCAAAAATAGGGCGTCAGAGTCTCCCAGCAAAAAGAAATCGCCTAGTCCTGTTTATATGGAACTAACTTACGTGCCCCATCATGGCAACTCTTACTATTCCGCGTTGGAGTTCTTCAAACGTGTCAGAGCCCGTTACTACGTGTTCTCCGGTACAGAACCCTCAAAAGAGATTTACAACGCACTACTCGACGCTAAAAAGACCTGGGAAGATAAAGAATTAGGTGAGCGTTGCATCCATTATGATTTAGCATTTTTTCTTACATTAATAATAGTTATTTTAAATAAATTTGAACTGATATATCTTATATTATCAGGTAATTTAACTTATACTGAAGTGATAAGTAGAATAAGTGTATTTAACAGACTTCAAACAAAGAATATTACGTGTTCGTGGTGCATCTTTATTATTAGTTATGTGTTTGAGGTCTACACTGATTTCTTATATGTTACTGGACCGCTTTGCATGATTCTTTGTTTGATAGTGTATACCACCAAGGTGTTCCCACAGCAACATGGTGATGATCTGGTATTGAATTCTGGGGATATACAATAGTACTCACTAAGCAGTGTTTCAAGATTTTGGCTACGGATAGATATTGATTTCCAAAATAATTCCTCACCTGTAACCGCTTCAGCTTTGGCTAACCGGTAATAAAGTTTCACGATTTTATAAATGGAAGCCTGTGGTCTTATTCTGACATTGATTTAAATTCTCAAGGAAAGTGCATCAACGAGGATAAGGAACTTTTATTTTTCTCAAACTAGTAGAGTAGCGAGATTGTACCAGTAACTAGTTTACGAGAGACCAAATGGGCATAAAGGTCTTTCTCCAATTTATTTATTTTTTCCTAATTCGATTCTTTGCATATAACATTTGTACTGACAGTTCAAGCATTGAATATAAGCTCTAAATTGTATATTTGACCTTACTTACCATGCTTTCTCGGTGCTCGACGTGCTTGCTCGCAAGACTATGCTCGAGCTGCTCAGGAGATTCTTTCCCTCGTCACCATATGGGAAATTAAAATACAGGTGACGAGGGAAAGAACTACTATCCCGTTTGAGTGTGTTCTCATTGTTCCTACCGTCTGACGTTCCGCGTGCATGTTGCAGAAGTGACCATCATTCCCACGTACGACACCGACGTGCTCGGCTACTGGGTGACCGAGAACGAGGAGGCGCTGGAGAAGTTCAAGATAGACCTCTCCCCCTCAGCGTCCCGTTGCACTATCAACCTGCAGGACCACGAGACGTCCTGCGCGGCGTACAGACTGGAGTTTTAAGTGCGGGGGCCTGCTTGTTGCGTTCTAGGTGGGGCTGTGGACGACCTCGGACGACGGAACCAAAGAGTTAATTGTTGTAGGAACCAAACGGGCTGTGATAAATAGATTGGCGTCCGAGGGAGCTGCGTGGAAGGGCCGCTCCACCCAGATCGCAAACAAATAGACCGGTGCCGTGACGGACTTTGTGATACGTTTGGATAGTGATAAGATAGGATAGGCTTAAAACGTTTACCAACAGCTGCCGCCACTCTTAGTGGAAAGAGCGGACAACCAGTGACGTTGACAACCGCTTGTGCGAACGCGCCGCGACACAAACTCAGCCGTGTCCCTTTAACCGGATCCGATTTTACCAATATATACCGATAGCCAACATTCGACCTAAGAACTAAGACGTCCATTTTTTTCTAAAAAAAAATATAATAGAGAAGAAAACTAGAACTCTTTCTAGTAACGTCATAGATGAACCGCATTGCCATTCGTTATATATAACCGAGTGTATTTTTTTAAATTTTGGTCTTATACAAGCATGTAGAGCTTTTATACACGGATATTTAGCTTGACCTGTCCATTTTATTTAGCTGAAACACCGCTTGCGTAACGCGTAACGTGCGTACGTCTAAATTTTGGAAGAGTTATTTTGCTAGCGCGTTATAGAAGTTCTGTATAATGGATATTCGAAACGAGAACGTAAAACGTCGAGAGCGTTGTCCCCTATTCGTTGTACGCTTTTTAATGGGACACAACGACTAACGGCCCACAAGGCAACGAATAAAACGACCCGGAGAAACTTTTCTACGAACGGTGTTTTAAAGAGTAATTCACTATCAATACGAGTCTTATGAAGGCTCCTTAGCGTGTTAGCGAGTGCCGACGCACTATTTATATTGATGTTTGTTAGAATTCTAATTTAAATGTTAAACCTAATATAGAAAGAAACGCGATTATTACTTCCCGATGTCTCACTAAATGTTATAGTTCGATGCGTGCGGGCCGAACATCGTTGTTCTGTCGACGCTACCTTCGTGAGGCCGGTACCCCGAAACGGGATTTATCGGTCCCGTGCTCCTCCCGCTTACCCCAACGACTCAGCGGCCGCAGCCCATCTAGGAAAAGCCTGCATTCCTAGACAGCGCTACGGCCCGAGCGTCCGTAATCAAACAGGAGTTTCCCGCGTCCTTCTAGAGTAGACGCGAGCCTAAATCGATAGAGAGCTTAACCCGTAATGAGGATAAATGTTTTATTAGAACTATTACTATTACGATATGAACATTCTATTTACATATGTTTTCAGTTTATGCTTGTTGCGTATGGCCCCTGATAGTTTTAATGCGTGTTGTGCGTGCGGGAGATGTGTGATGCTGTCTCGCTTCTGCATTGGATGTCTGTTGGTCTCTTGCGTTGTTCCTTTTTCGCAATTCTAGTCTGCGTGGTGATTCCCCGACTTGTTCGGTTCCTCAAACGCGCGATTCACTTTATAACTCTCCCCTTCCACGTGAATAGATACTCGTGTAATTATTAACATATAGTTTTTATTTCCGTCTGTACCAAGTCGTTTTTCTAAACATCTTCAGTTCGGGCGTTGAGTGAATGCGGTGTTGTATAACATCTAGTCTAGTTTAAGCAGTGCCGATGCTTTCCTCGGCTAAATAACTATCTAAATAGCCGTATTCCGTTTTCTGCCGATCCGAACGGAGTTCACGAGTCAATTAATTTTAAGTCATCCCTAGGGTTATACGGACATGTCACTTTCCTCGCTTAATCTGCCAACATTTTGTATTTGGTATACTTAGAAAAAAAATGACTAAAAATAAAATTGTATTACTACTGTGTACTAGCACCGGCACAATATAAACGATTTAAAAAGTGAATCCTTAAAAAATGTACTATTAAATAGATATTGTATTCTATATATGTATTATATACGTTTTAACGTATTTATTTTTGTGTAACCATCTGTACGAATGAGATATTGTTTTATAGAAGCAACAATTATTATGATATATAGTATAGTAAGTATGTATGTTTTATCGATGTGTTGGTTGGTGTGAGCACAATAAAGTATATTTTTGTTTATGTGGTTTTACGCTTCATTCTAGTTGTTTGGTGCGAAAATATTTAATGTGTTATTAATTATTACGATTATAATAATTGTGGCTCGTCGTCGATGCATTCCTTTGCCTCGCTACGCGTAACTTCGAGGTGGGACGCGTTGTGTATTCATTGTCTCTTTCACGCTCGCGTAACGCGCACCCGTCTGTCTCGCTCCCACGTCGGATAACGAATGCATCTCCGGCGAACCGACAAACGCTTCGAGAATGTTCTGATTGTTTTGTCGAGGCTTTGTTTCACGCCCAGCCGTGACGTTTACTATTGTATTTTATAGCTAGATCTCTAATTAATGCATATTATTAGGAATATTAAATAAAATGTTGTTTAAGATAAGAATTGTATCAGCTTAGTGAACATCAATAGCTCCGTGAAATAAATCATTATTGAAATTATTAAATGTTGTATTCTTCCATTAGCGATCGCGAGATGCGTTTCGCGATTGCTCTACTGTCTTATATTCTAGTTGTCCTCGCAATAATTATTCGTAGGTAAATTTTATTGTCCGCCATATTGAGGATGTTTATTAATTCATCTCAAATCGAATCTCGTTTAAATTAAAAGGAATGGAAACGGCGAATGGTACGGGTGGTATTTTCTATGAGAGGTAAAATTATTCAAATTTATTTTTGGTAAACTTAATCTGTGTTAGTTAATTTGAAAGTAATTATCGGTATTTAAGTTTACCGTTTCACTCGGATTTGTTTCACGAATAAAATGTAGTAGTTTTATACCACTTAATATTTATTCGTAAGATAAATAGTTTTGACTGGTTTATGATTTAATTTATTAGGAATACCATAATAGGTTGCGTAGAAGATGGGTTGACTCTTATGTGAATGATAATGTGGTGCTAACAACCAAAGTGCTAAGAGAAGTGAAAATGTTACTAATGCAATGTTTGTATCCGCTGTGAGTTTAAACAGAGTCCCAATTTTTCGATTGATATATGTAACATACGTGACCCTAAAGCATTTTAGTCGATATTATGTTTCATTTATATATATAGTGGTCTATTTTTGGTCGGGGATTGGGGATTACTTTATGATGAAATTCATTAATAGTGATTCATTAATTACTATCATTTACCTCACTGTAAGGGGTCTATAGGTTTTGTTATTATATTTAGGAGAAATAATCAACGTAGGCGGATTTCGCAAATTTTTACTAGCGCTGTTATATTATAATATACTAATACAATTACTAAAGCGAAATTATTGTTTCATCCCTGCTCACTTCGTTCTTCCTTGTCTTTCGTGCTTAATCTATTTCTGTAATTCTTAAATGCTATAAACGTTATTTAATAATATTTTCACTTATAACAAGAATACAGAATTTGCGAAATCTACCTCTCTCTCTATGACTATTTTTGAGTCTCTTCGATTCTTGTGAAAAATTATTGTTTTCGCTGAACGTACTTATTGGAAATGACTGTCTTATATTGAATTTCAGTCTAAAATATTTAATAATTTAAATAATTGGACGATTTCTCCCTTATGACATTAGTGATTATAACGGTAACCAAAATGTGTAATGATAAAATAAAAACTCCTTTCATTGTATCGGTATTTTTCTTCCTTCATCCATTCATCATATTTGGTAGACATGTAAGTAATTGAACTCAATAAACACATTTCAACCGGACTAATTGTTTTGTTTTATATAAAACTAGATGTGTCCGCGACTTTATCCGCGTGCAGTTTAAAAAAAATAAACGTAGCCTAAGTTACTCCTTATTACATCAGCTATCTGCCGGTGAAAGTCCCGTCAAAATTGGCTAGCCGTTTCAGAGAATAACCGAAACCGAAACAGATAGACAGACTGAAAAATAATTGAAAGAAATTGTTACTTTGGTATTGAAATTAAAATAACCGCATTTTACTAATTCGGTAAATATACCGAATTAGTAAAATGCGGTTATTTTAATTTCACAAACAGACACTCCAATTTTATTTATCTGTAAAGATTAGGTCAGAATATGCAAAATGCATTATTTCGTGAGCTTTGCTCTCGCGGTCATGACAGGCGCATTACATGCAATTTAGATTTTTCTATTTAAAAAACATTGCCCTTTAGGATAACATTATCCTGTGTTGTTAGGACGTTTTACAAACATACATTTCACGCGGACAAACACCCAGATGCGAAACAACAATCTGTGGGTCACACAAATAGTTGTCCCGTGTAGTAATCGAACCCACGACCCCCGAACCCAAAGAAGCCAATACCTTGACAACTGCGCCACGGAGTCATCAATATATATTTTTAAGATTTTTAAGTCCTATTTGTATTAAAGGCGACGTTGTTCATGATATAAGATGACGTTTAAGTTTAACTTCATCATCGCCTTACCGTCCGAGCGGATACAAGGATTCAATTCGCGGAAGACGGTGCCCCTCGAGAGAATGGGGTCATGGGTCATATCCAGTTGAAGACCCATGCGGCAGACGGCATGAAGGAGAGTTTCAGCACCACATAAAATGTGGATGTGCCCAGATTATGTACTGGGCGTGTTAAAACTTTGCTCAATATTGTACGCAGGCGGCCTTTTTAATATCATATTTCTAAATCATGTCTGTAAGCCGAATGCCGATTTGGTTGGTGTTAAATTGCTACTTGTTCTAGTACTTACCAGCTATCAGGATAATTATTTAAGATTTATGTATAATAAAGAAAAGATCTTGAAATTGTAAAAATTGTTTGCTGTTATTAGTGCACTTTTGCGAACATATTTTGAACAGTACCTAGGTACCTAACATAGAAAAGATATACAGGGTGGCTTTTCCAAAGGTGCCTTAATTCACACAGGAGGTTCAGACTCGGTAGTATAATCGTTTATTGAAATAAAATCAAACTTTTTTTCAAAAAAAAAGAAATACCTTCCATTCTCTAAAAAACAGAACTACATAGTTGAGAACGCGGTAGTCATTCATAAATACCTAAATTTTTTTAACTTTTGTGTAACTCAATCATGGCCTATACTGGTCATTTCAAGTTTACACAGTGGTTTTTATTTTGCTCGCTGTTAGGTGACGGTATTTTTATGATGAAAAGAAATTACTAAAAAAAAACAAATTACTATTTTCAACATCTTTTATTACGAACATACACATTATTATACCGTACATTGGTATATTATATATCATCAATGCATATCAAAATAAAATTGTAAAAGCACATTCGAACAGAAACAAACCAAAAATGTAGACGCGTTGCAAGCAGTTTTATTACAAAACATGTAACAAAATGTTTATGCATAAATAAGTTGCTTACACAAATAAAGAAAATATATTTGTTCCATTCGCTATTAAGCTACTTATTAACTAAATTAACTATGGAATGTCAAATTATTGCAGCCATATCGACTCTATAAACAACAACGAACGACATATTTTCATTAATATGTATATATAAAGAACACATTAATTTTTCAACACAATCGCGCGGTTTTAATACGAAGTTGTGAACACAAATATTGCAAAACACACAGAGATGATAACTAAATTTTGTTGCGTTGACCCGTCATGTAAAGATCTAAAAAATCTTCAGGTTGTCTCTTTGGGACGGTAACATTTATTGATTAAAGTTTGATATCAAATCGATTTGATTGAATATAAATTATGTATTGTTACATTACACGGCTACAATTATAACACAGCCAGTGCTAGCCCACGCAGTACAGTAACGACTAAGCATAGAGTATAGAGCAATGCACATCATAAATATCTGTTTAAAAACATAGCGATATCGATGAAAATCCACTCACACGCATGTTTTTATATGGCAATACAATAAATAAAGCATATCGATCACTGGGGCAACAGCGAATGATGTAGTTTCTGGGTGTTCAAATATTACGTAAACGTATTTAGGAGTTCTTAATTTTATTAATGAAGACAGTGGAACGACCTAACATGCACATAATTATGCATATAATAGCAACATATGATTCTTAATATCTAATATATAAAATTCTCGTGTCACGGTGTGTGTAATTGAACTCCACCGAAACGACTCGACCGATTTTCGTGGAGTTTTGTGTGCATATCGGCCAGAGTGGCGAATCGGACACCATCTATTTTTCATCCCCCTAAATGTTAAGAGTGGTCCACCCCAAACATGTTTTTCTACCCTACAAATAATTTATATGGCATAACAATGTTTACCGATTCAGCTAGTCCTTATATAAAACTTGAACACCCTTTTCTGAAAGCAACATCCATTTCTTTGTCCCGATTAAAACTACTAAAAACTTTTTTAATTTCATCCTAAGTGCTGCGAATAGCACTAAAAACATTAATATGCTTTTAAAAATACTAAACAAGTAGCTAATATAAATAAATCATAACCATAATGACTTTAATAATAACAATGTGTAATAATTTAAGGTAATTCATCTGATCTAACTGACGCTATCAATGTGTGTTTCGTATATTGAAATATAATTAGATTTACAAACGTTGCATGTTTAAAATATTTTTCGAGACTAGAACTTATAAATCTAACTAATCTTAAATGTTTGTTCATCAAAGTTAAAATTGAATACGTTTGTATAATAGCTTTGAAATGCTAAAATTAACTAGAGGTACACACTGAAATGTTACAATTTCTTTGGCTTATTAATTATATGAAACATTTACTTAACATTAAAACATCGACACTGATAAATTCCTAGAATTTTCGGGGCCATTTGTCTTTTTAGCAAACACAATCTTATATTCGGATGATTAATAATTGGGATTGAGATAAGGGGTATATTGAATTTTGTCAATTTCTTAAGAATAAACATCACTCTGACGTGCCAAGTGTTACTGGAAAAGGCATCTAGAACCCCACATCGTGAACCACCTTCTCACTTGCCACCTTCTTAATGGTGGAAGAAACCAAAGACAAAATGTTTGGGGAAATTCCCCGAATAAATAATTGCTTAGTTAAAAATGGCTAAGCTTTTTCTTATAGTAATAGTATAGTTCGCAAATAACAACCGAGTTGATGTAATTTTGTCTTTAGTAGACTAGATGAAAATATATTTTCGTTTTGTTCGGACATTATAAATTATGAAAAAAAGTCAAATGCGGCATTATTTCGCGACATTATTTTGCTTTTTATTAAACAAAAATTTTCACCTAAAGCATAATTATCATTTAACTACAAAAGATCTCGTTAAAATTACAAATTCCTTTTTAATCGTCTAAACGATATCGATTTTGTCAACATTAAAAACATATCAAATAGAAATTCTATAGCATCATTGCATAATACAACAGAGAGTTTAAATTGTTCGCTGAAGAAAATATCCTAAATGTTATAGTCAGAATTTTGTCGTGGTCATTGAAGGTCATAAATTCAATGAAAGGTCGGAATGGATTTGCCACAAGATGCCAAAGGTCAGAGTGGACAGGCCGCTATCACAAGGGCCTTCGAAGTTCTCAAGAGACTGTCCTAAATATATATGTTTTGTTGTGGTCATTGAAGGTCACAAAGGTCACCAAAGGTCGGAATGGGTCTGCCGCAAGGTAGTAAAGGTAAGAGTTATCACAAAGGTCCTCCAAGGTCTAAGCGGGCTCGATGCCGGTGTCAGAACCTCATGTCGTCCGGCTTCCGGAGGAAGTATGCCACCCGATGCAACGGCACGTGGTACTCGTGCATCCAACGGTTGCCCTTCCTCAAGGAGCCGTCGATGCCGTCCTGCCACACGCCGGCCGGTAGATACACTGAGAGAAGGAAAGAAGGAAACATTAATAAATAAATAAATATTTTAGGACACATTTTACACAACGTCTCTCTGGTCCCAAACAGAGCAACGCGTGTACTATGGGTACTAGATAACTGATAGACATACTTAAGCATAGTTTTATTTTGAAAATAAATACATATTATACATATTTAACCCAGACAGTAAAAAAATTATAATGAACATAGTTCATCACACAATATTTTTTCCGTAGTGGGGGATCGCTTCTCTTCTCTTCTCTTTGAACATAAATAGTCTGCAGTTAAAAGCTACTCGAGGCTGATAGTTACCTTCCCTGGTGGTTTGGCCGGGGCTAAGGATGGGGGCGACGACGAGCTCGTCGCCGACGGCGAACTCGTCGCGCACCGCCAGCGCGGCGTCTCCGCCCGACACCAGCCACAGTGGCCGGACCAGGGGCAGCCCCTCTTCCAGGGCTTCGCGCTTGTACTTCAGCAGGAGCGGCGTGATCTGCAATTGTGCACGGATTATACGTTCACTCTCGTTTAACTAATACGTAATCCATCCAAAGGTTGCCTGGAAGAAATTACTCTTAGTAATAAGGCCAACCCATTGTACCCATCACTTCTACATTAAGTTTTAATTTTTGTTTGTTTTATTTTCGGTGTGCAATAAAGTATATTCATTCATTCATTCATTCACGTATTTGAAGTAACTAGTAAACTCACTACTACTACAATTGTTCTTCTACGAACAGAAGGTGGATGAAAAAGAAGAAGTTTACGTAGATCATGTTCGAAAAAGGAACAAAATACTATTTTGGTAATTTCTAACGCTGTAACTTTACACCGTCCCGTGATTGCTTTGAGAAAAATAAGTTTTGACCAACAAACTTCCCAAAACGGTACGGTGTCGTAAAAGAAACAATTACTTTTATTACCTTTGACTCTGACTTTACTTTTCTTTTAAACAAGAAATTGCGAATCTCAAACTACATCCTAGTCCTTGTTCATTGGTTAAACAGCAAAAAAAAAACTGGAAAGAAGATAATGATGAAATTCTGATGACTCCATAGCGCAATTACCAAGGTATTGGCCTCAGCATTGGGGGTCGTGGGTTCAATTCACACACGGGGTAACTATTAACCATATATAAATGTTTAATTGTAATAATAAGTGTATAATTATTACCCAAATATAAGTGTTTTGGCTTCAGATATTTGTCGTCGTGAAATTTATGAATGTAAAATAACATTATTCAATGCTATAAGGTCGCTTCACATAATTTATGGGCAATGTTTAAAAACAAATTGCAACTTGCCAGTTTCTGCCTGAGCACGGTCAGGTTCTTCGCCATCTCGAGCACCCTCTCGTCGTTGTACTTGCTCGGCAGATGTGTGAACTTCATGACCGGCAGGAAGGTGGCCAGCTGCAGCCACCGAATGTACAGCTCCCTCTCCGGCAGCGCCACGCCGTTGCTCTGCGTGTCGGTGGGGCCCTTCGCCGAGGGCAGGAACTGCTCGCCGCCCGGCCAGTAGATGTCGCCGCCCACCGCGCCCGGCATGATGAAGGGGTAGCCCCCCACGCCGTAGGTGAGCAGCGCGGGGATGACCCGCCCCAGCGCGCCCCAGCTGGACTCGAAGGGCGGCAGCGCCACGAAGGCGGGCGGCCGCGGCAGCGCCACCGCCCCCGACACGCCTACAGTGTCCAGCGCCGCCTCGAACGTGCGCGTGAACACCGTCTTGTACTGGTCCGGGTTCAGAAGGTTCCGCTCGCAGCGGTAGTACCTGCAATAAGAATATCCCGATAGTCGTGTCTGCGAATGCGTTGATCCCAGTCAGCCTCTCTGGACATCCGAGGCGACTGGGACTCCGGGACGGAACGCTCCAAGCTCAAATGCAGAAGGCGGTGCTCCTCGATACCGCCCGCAGGTTTCTCTCCCTCTCACCCTAAACCTCGGCCGTTTGGTCTCCCCTGCCGAGGGCTTCCGTCTGGTTGGGTACTATTTATGTATGTATTATATACAATATTTATTTATTTTTGTCTATATGTTTATTTTTATTTATAAACCCAACCAGACGAGAAAACAAATAATCACCCCAACGATAATAATAGATCTATATTGGTCTAAAATAACGAAAAATGTAAAAGTAACTTAAAGACCCGACGGTTTAACATTGATCCCTTGGGAGAAAAGCAAAGCCCTTGTTTGGGCCGCCACTTGTGTAGACACTTTGGCTGCCTCTCATCTAAGGGGTACTTCGGTCGGGGCGGCATCGGAGGCAGCTAAATTAAGTAAATGGCGCAAATATGAGCCTTTATGTTCAGATTATGTATTTGTGCCATTTGCTGTTGAAACATTAGGTCCGTGGGGTCCCCGCACATCAAATTTTTTTAAAAGTTTATGTCCTAGGCTTAACGCCGCGGCTGGTGACAAGAGAGCTGGTTCTTTTCTCGCGCAAAGGTTGAGCATAACTATTCAGCGAGGAAATGCAGCTAGCGTTCTTGGCACCATGCCGCGTGGTTTAGGTTTATTAGATAATATGTAATTTTAGATGGATTTAATCTTGTAAATATTAGATCAATAAAGATGTAAATTCACTTAAAATACAATTATATTGGTCAAATTTTAGACAAAAAGGTCTGGGGTTCAGCTTTGTTACACACATTATGCACAATACTGATATTCTACCCCAGCCTGACATTAACTAACTTTAAAACTTTAATAATTGAAAACAAAAAGACAATAATAATGAGAAAAAGATAACAATACTTGAAAACTTCACCATGAAATTAAAACATGCCAGCAACTCGTTATAATGATAAATATCATCTACAATGTGACTTATCATGTGGTACCAGAGAGCTATTGTTGCATCAGAGTCTATTTTTTTACCTCGGCATGTCGTACGCAGTTCCCAGGTCGAGGAAGAACGAGTCGATGTTGTACTCGTCTATGACGCCGCGCAGCTTCTCCAGCATCCAGGGCACGGAGCGGTTGTTCGTGATGTCGATCACGCCCGCGCTCGCCGACGACTTGAACCTGGTGAGGGCCGGGATCCGGCTGTCTCCGCTCCTCTCGCCCACCAGCAGCCGCCTCTGCACGGCGTCCGCGAAGTTGGCGCTCTCCGTGCTGACGAAGGGCTGCACGGTGAAGGTCACCTTGAACCCCCTGCGGTGCAGCTTGTCCACGGTGACGTTGAGAGCTTCGAAGCGGCTCCTGTCCACGGAGAGATCGCCGACCTCGCTCTGCCAGAACTCGTTTATTAACACGTGGCCCTGCTTCAGAAAGCCCAGGTTGATCACGTCCTCCGTGTACTTGGATATCGTCTCCGCGTTGAGCTCCCGCTTGAAGCGCGGCGCGATCTGCCACACCGGCTCGGAAATGAGCGACTCGAGCGTCTGCATGTCCTTGGGCTTGAGCCCGTCCCACAGCGGGGCGCTGCGGTGGCCGTGTATCGCCGAGTGGAGGGACTTCATGTCGCGCGCCGTGCACACGTTGTACTTGAGCTCGGCCGGCTCGGAGGCGCCGCTGGCGAAGGCGAAGTCGTCGCGCTTCGCCCTCAGGCAGAGCCGCCTCCGGCCGCCGTCCACGGACACGTGGAGCGGGCTCTCCTCGTCGACTATCAGCGCGGCGCCCTTCGAGTTGATGAAGTACCGCGAGAGCACGTTGCCCCACTGCGCCTTCTGGATGTCGCCGGTGATGAACGGCGTGAAGTCGATGGCGCCCGCGTCCAGCGGCCACGTGAGGTTGAGCGACTGGCCGCCGCCGTACCAGCGCAGCTTCGTCTCGCCCCAGTCGAAGCAGTCCGTCGGCTCGGCGTCTGAAGTCGACAGATTATTTACTACTCGAGAGAAATAACTTAATTTACGACATAGACACGTCTATTAATCAATGCACAAGTCCGCTGCACAAAAGGCATTTAGCCTTAGCTAGCCATGTGAACCTTGCTGGAATTGGGATATAGTATACCTGAAATATTGAATCGAACCCACGTCTTCCGGTTTCGATTCCTGATTTCCAGCGATGAAATTCTTTTTGTCCATTCTACCCACTATAAGAACTTGATATAAAATTTAATATCTTTAAAATGTTTATTTCTCCTACTTCTCATACATGAAGATTACATACATGTGGTTAATTTAGTTTCCGAAGTGTTCAGGCTATCTTCATTTTAAAATGACAAAAATGAAATGGGCAAACGATCCACAAAGAAGTCTACAGAAGTCGTAAATAACTTACCGGGATGTAGCGCTGTCCAGTGTATGGCATAGCAGGTAGCGTTGATGGCAGAGGAGGTGGTGGCGGAAGCGGAAGTGGAGGCGGCACGCCGTAGCGGATACAACCTCAAACGCAATGCACGGGCCCACTCCAGGCACCAAGATTCCTCACCGTGCGTCGTCTCAAGGCAAGGGTACGCTTTAGCCGAAACCCCTAATCCCACCGCTGGGCATTAAGATAATCATTTTTTTTTTAAATGTTAACTTGTTAAAGCGCCTGCGTCTTTCGCCCGGGCAATGTTTTCGAGTGTTAAATTAAGTTAATTTTAATACAGGTTGTTAATCTTTATGTTTTATTATTTACCCTAATTGTCATTCGTTTTAATACATAGTAAGAATCGTCCGAAGTTAACTATCTAGTTGCATTATTTTAAACCCTTTCCCAATTTAAAATTCTTATATATTCCAACATAACTCTAATGGCTGTTGCATCGTAGATCGGTTGATTCCCTCTTTTGATTACTACATGCAAGATCAAAACAACCAAATTAGTTAATCGTTCATCTACTGCGTCATGTCTTAGAATCTGTTCCCTTCGGAATATGTAGCTTGTTGGTTCGTCCTGTAAACAACTTTAAAAAATATATCTCCTGTTTTTAACTTATACTATGAACTCATTATGGGTATCAAATATAAATATATAATAATTCATAGTCTACATAAGTGTCTATACTGTTTTAAACGCCTTAGAGACCATGCCTATAACTCGAGTAACCTCCATTTTGGCCCCACACTTTAGTTATATTGAGCAGAGCTAATTTTAAATATAATTGTAACATACTGAGTAAATTCTTAAGCCTTTCTGTAGCCTTACTATGCAGCCGTACCTATTGATAATCAAACTACTACGGAGCAATAAACTGGGATACAATTCAAGGACTCACCCAAGCTCGCCCTCAGGATCTCCACGTCGTCCTTAGTGTGGATGCTGAGGATCCTCTTCGGTCCGTTGAACCGCACCCTCTCGAAGTAGGTCTTAGTGAGCGCCTGCCGATGGTACAGCACGTACGCGAAGCTCACGAAGAAAACTATGGCGAGGAACATAAGGCCCACGAACGCACGCAGCTTGTAGTCCGTCGGTTTCTTGCGCATCTTTTGCGGGATTCCCTGAGAAGATACAATAAGTAGCGCCTTATGTATGGCCAATTTGAAGTAAGACGAGTGCATCCCAGTGCGGCAATGAAAAGGTTAATGAAAATTAAAAAAAAAATGTGCTATATTAGCTTGATCATTTCTAATGCCGCGTGATTGAAAAGTGTCATGTGATTTTGACCAAATCTACATATTAGAGTTCGGGGCTTATTGGTCCCATAGAAGCGCTCAAGTTCTATTTTAAGTCTATTCCAAAGATAAATCATCCATATTTTATTAAATTAATTTAGATTAGACCAGGCTGAATTTTAAGTCCTTGCAGGACCTATTACTAGTAATACTTTTTATAATTCACAACTCGTTAGAATTTGACTTTGTCATTGAGACGCAGATGATTAACCCGTTAGCTGAATAAAAATGTTTGGCAGGCGGCTAATATTAACTAGATTTTAGCAAGTATACACAACTAGATAGGTTTGAAACCTGCAGTTTCTCCTTCAGTAAGCTGGCCAGCGAGTTGACTGACGTGACAGAGTTGCTAGGAGAGTAATCGTCCTCATCCATACTGAACTCTGAACGGCCCAGTCTTCTGGGACCGCCGGTCTTCCGACGTGATGACCTGACAGGTGCCCTGAGAAAAGGAATGCACAAAAACTGTGATAGAGGTAATGGAATCAATGTAAAAACCACATTGAAAGAAGACCCAAGAGGGTTTCGAAACCAACAAGCCAAGATCCAGCTATAGTTGAGTGCTAAGATTTAGATTAGATTAGATTATTTCCTGTAGAAAACGTTCTTTTAAGTAAAAGTTATAAATTACCTAATCGAAATATGTGTAAGTAATATTAAATTTCAAATGCCAAAAAATGTAGTAATGATGATGGTGATCACGTAATTATTTAATTGATTAAATCTATTCAAGGACCATTTTTATTGACTTTCAATTATAAATCAAATCGAAAGTAACAAGGAAACATCTTATAGGAAGAATTAAAAAAACGGCTATGACTATACTAGAAACGATCATAATTAAAGTTTTATCTTAATTCTTTTAAGACTTTTTGAAGGATCTAGACCATGATAATACAGGCATAAATCCCGAAACATTGGCAGTAATCGAGGTCCGAGCGACGGTAAAACCACGAGTAATGTAAAGGACGTTACAAATCGTGCAAGGTCGCGTTGAGCATTTGAAAATGGCAAGATTACAAACGTTAATGAGGAAACTCTGCAAATGACGCTCACGCAAAGCAAGAACCCCGTAAATTATGTAGAAGGCGACAATCGGTATGTTTAGTTTTCTGAACATTACATTAATTAAACTATTGTAACTAACGAATGTATTTAGCAAAAAAGTAAAGTATCAGCCTGGACTTCGCATATCTACAAATTCAAATTTGTTTGTTTAATAGTAAATAGGTACAGAAATACTAAGGCTAAAGCCTTGTTTTCGTCACAATGTCGAGCTAACCTTTTTAGCTGTTTCAGCAGCATGTAAATATCCAGAAGAATATATTTATAATACAGATAATTCTAATGTTTTTTTTTTTTACAAATGCAAAGAATTTTTTCTTATTATTACGAAAATATTCAGGTTTCCTCACGATAATTTCCTTATCTGCTGAGTATTATCAATTACATTGGTGCCGGCGCCGGGAGTTGAACTTGTGCTGCTCGAGTATTTTGAATTAAAATCGAAAAGTTATTTTTATTTTATATAGAGAGGCGATGCTTATGTTTATTACTTTATTTTTTTATGTGAGAAAATGGCAAACGACCTAACGGTTCACCCGATGTAAAGTGATAACCGTCGCCCATGGACATCGCGTACTTCGTCGCGCATTTGCAACACCCGTAGGGTTGCAAATGCGCTTTATTTAAAGGTAGCCTTTAAATAAAGTGGGCCCCGGCTACCTCACTCACCCGCCAAACTAAATCAAGATCCATTGCGTAGTTTCAAAGATTTAAGCATACACAGGGCCAGACGGACAGCGGGACGGATTTGTTTTATACTATGTAGTAATGTAACAAAATAAAAGCGGAACAACTTTTAAACTGAGCGCAGTACGGAGGTGCGTCGTCTACGTTATTAAACATCATTGCAGTCAAAACTTTCCATGGCGAAAAATAAAAGGCAGGTACTAACCAAATTTAAAAAAAAAAAACGTGTGTGTACTTATGTACGCTCGTAAAAAGTTATATTTGTTTAGCGTAACAAAAGAAATACCGGCCAAGTGCGAGTCGGACCCGCGCACGAAGGGTTCCGTACCATTATCTATAAAAACAGCAAAAAAAAAACATCATGTCTGTTGCATGGTTGTTTTTTATTTGTAGTCATATTGGCAACGGAAATACATCATCTGTGAACATTTCAACTATTTAACAATCACGGTTCATGAGATACAGCCTGGAGACAGACGGACGGACAGACAGCGGGGTCTTAGTAATAGGGTCCCTTTTTACATTTAGGGTACGGAACCCTATAAAACTAAAATTTTATCCATTGTGTCAGTACTCTTTGTTTGTGAAAAAGAAATTAAATGCAATTGATAGCGTTTATAACTTGGAATTATAGGTAAATGTCAAAATGTTGTTATCGGTTGCTATATAGTATCTATAGTATCGCTTTAATAGTATTGCTATAGCATCGCTTTGCTACCAAATTCATAATGTCGCTGTCAGTGGGTGCGCGTATCGTAAAAAAATTACTCTCAATTTTTTTTAGAAACGTGCCTTATCAAGTATAACTTCAAAGTTGTAATTATTGCGTATTACGTATTTTACGCGCGATCGTTAGATGTCGTGTAACAATTTACATTTGTCGGGATTATCTGGGGAGTTTGTGTTATTATAATTTTACCTTGCAGTGTGCTCGTGAGCAAATAAACACATTTGAGATTAATACAGAGGCACTAATATTTTTATGCGTAGGAATCGCTCGGGTATAATCATCGAATTATTAAATATTTAGAAAAAAAAATTATAGTCTCTTAGAATGTGGCGCTCCAACTGATTAAATACAATCTAATTACATCAAGTCCAGGCAATTAAATGTCTCTACTTTATGCCTGTGATAGTCCTTCGTCTGTTACCCGAATATTCCACTTTGCCACGATATTTTCTTCGACGGCAAACACTGGTTTCGTATGGGATAGGGTTGTCCAAATTTCAATTAGAATTGTTACAGTATTACGACATCAAATCCAGCAGATGTACAATTATCTAAGTTAAGCTGGATTTGATCTCGCAATACTGTAACAATTCTAATTGAAATTTGGGCAACGCTATCCCATACGGAAGCAGTGTTTGCCGTCGAAGAAAATATCAGAATTCGTGGAATATTTGGGTAACAGACTTGAAAGACATAAATAAAAGAATCAATATACAAATTACCATTTCAATATCTCACAAATGTTTCAACGTCTTTTTTTCCTATTTCATAACGACAATGCCTTCAAGATCAACTAAACAAGAAAATGGACAATGCATAAAATTACATTGGAAACTGTATTATTACGGGTCATGTAATGAGCAGTAAGTTAAACGCTGTTCCGAAGCAGTTCCCATTCTTATCGAGGGTATGGCAATTACTTTACTATTATTTAATATTAGCTGTGACCGCGACTTCGAATTTCTGTGTGTATTTTCTTCGAATTAGCTGTGACCGCGAATTTACGGTGGTAGGGCCACGCAGCAGCCTCGGCTGTTGCACAAATGGGCAGGCCCGTCCGGGTAAGTACCACGACCTCACAGAAGACCAGCGTAAAGTGACAGTATGACAAATACTTTCGCGTTTCGTCTGGTGAGTGAGGTAGCCGGAGCCCAATTTTCAAAAGGTTGTCAACGCATCTGTAACCCTCGGGTGTGGCAGATGTCCATGGGCGGCGGTATTTACTTAACATCAGGTAAACCGTCTGCTCGTTTGACAACTTTTCGCATAAAAAAAAAAAAAAAAAAAACGATAAAAAAATCTAAAATAAAAGTAGCCTAAGTTACTCCTTACTACATCATCTGCCAGTGAAAATCAGATGCAATAAAAAAAATTGTTTAATTTTTTAAAACGTCATCAAATATACTTTTTAATTTACTTATTAATTGAGTAGGTATATCAACAGACATTGCGATATATTATTATATTAAAACAAGATTACGATGACATTTTATTAGGATAATAACCTACTTTAGATATAAATCTATTTATTTTGTTTCAAATGTCTATGGGCGGCGGTTATCACTTAACATCAGGTGAACTGCCAGCTCGTTTGTCACTGTCTCACATAAAAATAATAAACATCTCTTACAAAAATAATTAACGACTTATTAGATTAGATTAATTATTTTTTGAATTAAATTAAAAAATATATGTAGACATGCATTAAAGTATAATGATTATAAAACGGCAAGTAGGAATGTATTCCGTTTCCCGCCACGCATATAATACTTACAGTATTTCCAAAGCAATCTAAAAACAGATAATAAATAAGGTTTCAGTATCTAATACACAGAGCAATAAAATTGCGATTGCAAATAAGCAATAATTCCGTACTTGCCCGCACATTTTTCTAGACGCGTTCTCAATAATTAAACATGCTGTTGCAATAACGCTTCGTAAATATGCGACTGTACGCATTATGTATAACCACCATACTAATAATAATTATTGGGAATCTTTAACATGACTTAAAATTCATCGCCGAAACATTTTAAGTCATACGTCAATTACATTAACTTAGCGTTAACATTAAATTAGCCTTTGAAATTTATTTAGATTCAAATTTTAGTAAAGTTGAGGTGTTGATAAATAGTATGAAGCGTTAATTTTCTTTTCTGAGTGCGGCATTACACTTTTCGAATTCTAAAACGAGATCGACCCGCGTTCCTGCATGGTATCAAACCACTACACCATCGGCTGCACCGCTGACGCTTGGTTTAAACGATTTAAATAAAAATCAAAATTTTACCCATCGAAGTAAAGCCGTATTTATTCTTTGGTTGATTATTAAAATAATTGTGGTTATAATAAATACATCGCACTTATAACTTGTCTGCGTTAAACGAAATAAACAAATTGACTGTATACCTCGATAACCTATAACCGGTTAAGCGCGGAATTGGATTCTTGATAAAACATCACACAGTATTTTTTTTAACTTTCGCGGTAAATGAAATCACGGCACGCGGCGGGAAGGCTAATATATTCCAAACACAACCTGATAATAATTAAAATGTCCCTTAACAAAACGGGATAGAGTTTAGTTTCAAAGGTCACGAATCGGACAAGAACCCGAGAAAACTTAAGAACGCAGAGTGGATCGGTGGTGGAGACAACCCGCGACGGACTGAACCATACGTCAAGTTTACAACGCAACCTGTTTATTTGCGCGCGCGTTCCTACCTATAGTTCACTAAACGCGTCTCAATTTGAATATGGAACATAGAACTTTTTCTAAAAAGTTCCATGTACATGACGAGAGGTCCTAACAAAGGAAACCAGTCTGTTGTCATTGATTATAACTTATAATAGCAATAAAAAGTGATAGCATTGTGTTCTGGCGCTCTATTTTATTTCAACATATTTGAGTAACTTGACTTTTATTCCCGGTGACAGCACCAATGAAATTATTAATAATCATAATTGCCGTCTTGTCACTTGCTAAACGGTGAAGGAAAACATAGTGAGGAAACCTGCATATTTTGAAAATAATAAAAAAAATATTTCGTAGATTATTCCAAAGCCCGCCATTTCTCATTGGGGTGGCTTGGTGGACTTTGGCCTAATACCGCCTGTACAGAGGAGGCCTTTGCCCAGCAATGCGAATTTGCGAAATATATAGGCCTTACTTCACTTTATATTACGTCAGTTAAGGCATAAGCATTTGTAAAGTGATGTAAACGACATATCCTCTAATTTTATCATAACCCACTTGAATTTTCTGGTTTAAATTCTGATCTTAAATAAGCCCTAGAAGCTTGGGCTTAGATGAAACTCCATAGTTATTGTTATATAGAAGTTGATAAAAGGTATTCATGAGTAAATCTCTATCAAAATACAGTTTCTTAATGCGCACATCTTTTAATAGTCAATTTTTTCTTAGATTGAAACACTTTTTGAAATAACAGTAGGGTTGCAGATGCGTTGTCACCTAATAATAAAGTGGGCCCCGGCTACCTTACTCACCAGACCAAACGCGGCTGTGTGAGCGTGGCCGTGATGCTTACCCAGACGGACCTGCCCATTCGTGCAACAGCGAACAACTGTTGCATGGCCTACCACCCCTAAAATGAAATAATCCATCGCAGTTTAAACAAATAACTGGCACCTCCCAGTCACAGCGTGTTCTGGGTCACTTTTTTAGATATTAAATGCACTTTGGATACAGTGCTTATTGAAGAAATATCGATTTACCAACAATGACGTTTAGTAATATAGACGACGCACGTCATTACTGCGGGGCATACCAAAAAAAAAAAAACGAAAATTGTTTCGCTTTACACTAAATAACATATATAACTTAATGTGACAGATGATATAGAAACGTATGTTATGGAAAGAGATATAGCAGTCTATTGAATTGCAATCTAATTACACCAACTGGTGTAATTTGATTAACTCAATTTCGGCGCGCTGATGTCATATCTTTGTTATTATATACATTGGATTCACCCGTAACTTCTCTATTGCTTAACTGTTTTAGTTGGACATCACTAAGTGCGCCCCCGCTTACCGCGGGCAATATCCTTTCTCAAGATGACAAACGAGAGTTAAAGCCATAATACGATAATGGCCACCGATGTGTGTCAATTGGCCGTTTGTCTCAGCTCGGTGCAACGTCGTCTTCGTTTTTCGCTTTCGATCTACTCCTATCAGCTTCCGTCGTATTGGGGCCGGGGCACGAATGGAAATTTGTCTCGTTGGAAATGAAGACCACAACTTTCCCAATCCCGACTGTACCAAGCTTGCGAAAAATTTAATATGAACATTGTCGTATATTTAACGAGTTCTATTTTTGTAGAACTTCCGGTTTGATAATAAGACTCTCTAAGGTGTATTTTTAATTTACAAGTTTTGATTTTCATTTGTCCAAATAAATACCTACTTCACTACATAGTGTAAAACAAAGTCGTCCCGCTGTCTGTCTGTTATATGTATGCTTAGATCTTTAAACCTACACAAAAGATCTTGATCCGATTCTCTTTACTAGACAAAGTGATTCAAGAGGAAGTTTTTTATGTATAATACATTGCACCAATGCGAAGCCAGGGCGGGTCGCTAGTAATATTATAAATGTAAATGTAAGTTTGTTTGTTGCGCTTTCACGGCAAAACGTAACTCAACCGATTATCATAAAACTTTGTACACATATTCTTAGTTTTTAAAAAGGACAAAGGATTCTTTTCATTTAAAAACTATATTTAACAAAAAAGATATTTATCTAAGGACTTCAACGCGAGCGAAGCCGCGGTCGATAACCTAGTATTAAATAAAACTCTGGTACTTTTTTTTTAGATTTCTGTGGAAATCAATGTTAAATACACCTTGAACTTTCATTCCATATTAAATTCGCTTTGTTTTGTGTTATTTGGATGAGCCAATTTCATACATTTATCAGTGCAATTACTGTCTTTCAATGGTGCAAAATTGCTCGCGAATTAAGTGGAACACACTTTTGATAACATATCTAAACCACAACTGAACTTAGTATGTCAGAATACACTTTCACGTTCATATTGTGGTTTCGATGTGAAACGGTTAGAGGTGTACTGGTTTCAAACGACGAGGCCATTATAACACGTCAAAGTAATAGTATATAGAGTCTCGCTGAGCGTCTACCACTTACCACTTTTGCCTGAGTAAGAAACAACTAATGTACAATAACTAAAGACCTGTGAAATATGAACCCACGACCCCAGAATGTACTCTAGCGAATATTAGAGTGCGCATTGCAGCGGGGGCCGGGTCATTGCCCGGATGCGCTTCCTTATTAAGCAGACCCTTAAGAGCACTGCAGACCCCCCTCCCTCCACAGCCCCTTCACGCGTCCCACACGATTGATAACACACGCGCAAATGTACTATGCGCAATTGACCACTGGCCGCGTGTGGTGCTCTTCGTAGACGTCCAAGATTTATTTCGTGTTAGACTAGCGACCCGCCCCGGCTTTGTACGGGTGCAATATATTATACATATAAACCTTCCCCTTGAATCACTCTATTTAGTAAAAAAAACCGCATCAAGATCCGTTGCGTAGTTTTAAAGATTTCAGCATACATAGGGACAGACAGATAGAGGTACGACTTTGTTTTATACTATGTAGTGGAGATGAAGGCGTTGACCACTTACCGCTAGAAGAAACAGTTGCCAGTTTATCACACTCTTCATTAAAAGCTCTGGTCGTCATTTGTTGACTGCGGTATGGCCACAAAATAGTTCGTTCTGTTCTGTTGCACGAATGGGTAGGTCCGTCCTGGGAAGTACCGGCGTGAATGAGTGTTATACTTCTGCGTTTCGTCTGGTGAGTGTGTTAACCGGGCCACACTTTGTTAAAAGGTGACAATGCAACCTTTCAACTGTGGTAGGGCCACGCAGCTGCCTCGGCTGTTGCACTGATGGTCAGGCTCGTCCGGGTAAGTACCACGACCTCACAGGAGACCGGCGTCAAGTGGATGTATAATGAATACTTTCGCGTTTCGTCTGGTGAGTGAGGTAGCCAGAGCCCAATTTCCAAAAAGGTTGTCAACGCATCTGTAACCCTCGGGTGTAGCCGATGTCCGTGGGCGGCGGCATTCTCTTAACATCAGTTGAACCGCCTGCTCGCTTGGCAACTTTTAACATAAAAAAAACAACGCAACTGGAACCCTACGGGTGTTGCAGAGACGTCCATGGGCGGCGGTTATCAGTCAACATCAGGTAACTGCCACGCCAACGCCAGCTGGCCTGCCGCATTCTCACATAAATAAGCACTTACTTCGTCCTCTCCTCCTCGGAGAGTACTTCGTTATTCTCGTCAGCAGTGTTGCCATCGCTGAAGCCGGACGCCGAGCTCTGGTGGTGCTCAGGAATCTGGAAGCGAGTGATAATTTCAACAGGTTTCACTAAACACGGTAAGTTGCAGGTGCGTTGCCATCTTTTAATAAACTGTCCCCGGCTACATCACCCACCGGACCAAACGTTAGTTCATTTGCTCGACTATGGCTATTTTCGTAAAGACGACGCGTTAAAATCACTACATAGTCTAAAACAAAGTCGTCCCGTTGTCTGTCTGTCCCTATGTATGCTTAAATCTTTATCTAATATAATTTATTGAGAAACATGTGCATGACACAGCATAATATGCGCAAAGCATTGACGACAGTCTTTTGTTTGCTAATACTCTGCCAACACGAATTCAAAATCCAGTTGAATACTAATTAAAATTATCAATTCAGAGGACTGATTTACATCTTAGCCTTCGACAAAGCAGAAATCAGCCTTGTTAGATACGTGGAATAAATAAATAAATAATAAAAATAGAAATGTGCATAGTTGACAAAAGAAAGTAGTTATGGTTTTCAACATCTATATTAACAAAAAAAACTTCGCGAGAAGTCTACGAAAAATGCTAAGTAAATACCTAGTATTGGTAATTATTTATAACAGAAATCAGCAAATTAAAATCTAGCATTCAAATCACTAAAACAGTTCACTCTGAGAGGATGTTTCAAAAACAAGATGATTGTTAAATTAAAATTTAAGAAAAATTAACATAAGTTAGATATATTGCCGTCGTGACCTTAGTATGACTTTGTTTATAAAATAATAAAAGAAAAACAAAATCCTTAGCAATTTCACTCTACATAATATTATTATATAAACACTAGCTGACCCGGAAAACGTTGCTTTGCTATATAAGTTATTTGTAGGGTAGAAAAAAATGTTTGGGGTGGACCACCCTTAGCATTTAGGGGGATTAAAAAATAGATGTTGTCCGATTCTCCACCCTGGCCAATATGCACACAAAATTTCACGAAAATCGGTCGAGCCGTTTCGGAGGAGTTCAATTACAAACACCGTGACACGAGAATTTTATATATTAGATGTATTCTTTAATTCAGCGTTATAATAAAGTGAATCTCTCTTCGGTAATTTTGTATCACATTACTACATATCCTACATGTACTATGCTATTATTATATAATTATGCTATATTTGACGACCCGATTGGCGGGTAGTGAACGCTGCTTCTTGCGCCAGTAGGTGTGGGTTCGATCCCCACTACTGGAATTATATTGTGTGATGAACATAGTGTTTTTACAGTGTCTGGGTGTTTATATATGTATGATATGTATTTATTTACAAAATTTTTTAAGTATTTATTTACGTTTATCAGTTATCTAGTACCTATAGAACAAGCGTTGCTTAGTTTGGGAATAAAGATTTGGATATTAAGATATGGGCTTATAATTTTGTCGGTTTATAATTTGGTTTGGTTTATAATTATTATTATAAATACAAACATCCTGTCATGATGTTTAATGATTATACCGGGTTAGACGGCTGCTCTGATCAAAGATTAATTTGATTATTAAGTAAGTTAAGTTTAAGTGCCAGGATGTAATAAACATATTGGTACTTTTCGCTATATCTCAAATAACTTTATTTAAAAATTGAATAACCGTTGCGATCGAACAATAACTTAAAATGGTGCCACAAGTACCTATACGTACTTACGTTACTGACGCTATATTTTTTTTAAATGCCAAAATAGTCAAAGCGTTAATACAGCCAGTTATAAAACATAATAAGGATAATTAACATTGTCATACAAAATATACTTTAGAGGAATTGAAGATAATGTCACGCTCATGTGTTAAAATGAGTTGTGCGTTTTAGAGTCACGGTCCAGCAAAAATAAATTAACTGCGATAGGGTTGACATCATATCTTTGTATTCCTACGGCGTAATACTAAGAGATATTTTTTGAAGTAAATTGATGGTTGCGCTCTCACTCCGTAGAAAATATAAAGGTTCATTGGTACAAGGTACTTGGAAGGCCTAGATTTCCACGCGCTCGAGAGCTCTTAACAGCTATGTGACTTACTCGGACTTTTGGATAACATATCTTGACCTTATAGGTTGCACGTGCTTAAACTATTTTGAGGTTTGTGGTGTCACAAAGTAGTGATAAATACAATAAATTTTCATTTTAGTTTGTTAAAACTATTCTACTGAGCAATCCCGTAAACAAAGTCTCGAACATTCATGGTTCTCAATCGGTTTGTGACTCGATTTTACAATTTAATATAGGACAAGCTTTTCCTCCAAATTTCCCCATTCTTTGTAATGACAGGATATTGCGCAGTCCGTAGACTACATAAAGCTAAAGAAGAATGTACAAACTAAGACCCTATTACTAAGACTCCGCTGTCTGTCTTTCTGTTTGTCTCTTTGTCTGCCACCAGGTCGTATCTCCTGAACCGTGATAGTTAGACAGTTGAAATTTCACAGCTGATGGTATATTTCTGATGCCGCTATAACAACAAATACTAAAAGGACAGAATAAAATAAAAATATTTAAGGGGGCACACATTCAACTTTATATATATAATGGTACGGAACCCTTCTCGCGCGAGTCCGACTCGCACTTGGCTGGTTTTTTGTCTTACATCCTAAATGCTATCCTTTTCGAGACATTTCTTATTCTACGATAGCAATTCCATTTCGAAAGGGGCCAAGCGGGGAACTGTTAATGGCTAGTGCATGAATGATTAAAGAGCTGACCTTGGTCAATGGTATGCAATCGGAATCACGTCCCTTCGCACCGCGCATGCTCACTAGAATGGGATGCAACCGGAGATGTCGCTCAATTAACACTAATTAACGTTGCTTAGCTAGTACCTAGGATTGGAATAGAGGTGCGAAGTTTAGGCCAGGTTTAATCAATGTTGATTAAAAATATAATTGAATACGGTTGTAACCGTAACAACTTAGTAGCATTAACTAGGAGACAACTATAAGTTGTTAAATTCGATATGGCCTATCTTACGGTCCCTACCTTGCTTTTACTTATTCAATAAACTCTTAACGAACTATTTTTACTGAATTTTTCGTGATTCCGAATCAATTCAAATTCACGACTTTGCCGTTTCCGTCAGCGTGAAATCTAAAAATATCCGAAGTGCCGGATATTTATACGTAAAAAAGGTCAGTCTATTGTTGGATATAGAGGTGGTAAAATGCCTCAAAATCTAAATCAACGTCTTATTGCTTGATTTAGATTGGATGATGTATTCCAGTGCAACTTTGTCAAACTCCACAAAAATGCATAATTGTACCTAAGTAGATGACTATGTCTCCTTATTACTTACTAATCGAGAATATTAATGTCATAAATGACAACAATCACAAAAATAAAACGGAACAACAAAATGGCACGATAGACTGATAACCCTACATCTAATCTTATAATAACCTTAAATTAGGTTGATTCAGTAGATAATTGAAAATATATCGTTATAATAAAAGAGAGAAACGTTAGAGCAAGGCAAATGACATCTTTGAAAGGGAGCCTGTCACCAACCATCATGGAGGTAGAAAGTCCCACAGACACGTGGTGATTTCTTCGTCGTATAGAGTTTAATTGTAATTGTGCTGAGTGGTCAAGTCACGGGTGCGTGAAACTTGAACTCGAAGCAAGTCAGAAATATAGTAGCAAATTGGAAAAAAGCGCCATCTAGGCAAAGAGTTACAAACTTACATAGATTACAAGTGATGTTTTGTAACGCCGTCAAGAGATGGCAATCACAGAAGAAAAATAATCAAAGGTTCATATTGCCTAGTATATAGTGTCGATATACTGGAAGATTCCTTTAGTTTTATTAGCAATCGTTTGTTTTAATCGATATATTGAAACACATGTCAACTTTTTGTATAGATTAACCCAAAATATTTTTTTTGTTTACACGTAAGTTATAATAAATAATTCAATCATGTATCAATATATGAGATTTCCAGCAAATTCTTAAATTTAAGTAAATTAAAAGTTTTAGAAATTATAAACTTTTCTAATTATTATTTCTTCTATTCGGTTTTTAAAGAAGAAATCCCATTTTATTTAAAAAAAAAATACCTGTATGGTACCTAACTGTATTACGCAAAAAAAATTACTTAATGGTTAACTAATAACATTTCAATAAGATAATTATGTAGAATGCTGTTATTAGGGCTATTACATTATAAATATAATAGTTATTTTTAGAATAAGAGGAAAACGGTCGATACCGAAACCGAATATAATATTATATAATGTGTTAAGTACTAAAAAATAATCAATCAGTAATGTTTGGCTTTATTTTGAATTGACGTACTTTATACTTCTAATCTGCAAAAATTTATTACCAATTACGGCTCAGAAGGGACCGAGGGAGCGAAACCACGGGAAAAGGCTAGTAAACCACATTTGGCCCGAAGAGAGTCTTGACATTAACCGAAAGTGAAACGCCAAAGATAGGAATCAGGCTTAGAAGACTGGATGGCCTTCCCCAAGGCACCCAACTTATAATTTTACGAACTTATAATTTCTAAGTGGGTTCCTTGGAGAAAGCTGTCCAACAGTGGACTAAGTTGAGCTGATGATGATGATGTTAGATGTAGACGCAGCACCCTAAAGAGAAGTAATTAGTAAGGTTTCTTTATGTGAAAAGTTACCAAACGAGCAGACGGTTCACCTGATGGTGAGTGAATACCGCCGCCCATGGACATCTAATACACCCGAGGGTTACAGATGCGTTGACAACCTTTTTAAAATTGGGCTCCGGCCACCTCACTCACCAGACGAAACGCGAAAGTATGTGTCATACTTCCACTTTACGCTGGTCTTTTGTGAGCTCGTGGTACTTACCCTTAACTTGAGGTAAGGCAACTAAGATTTATTGAGAATTAGAAACGAGGAGTGACGGAAAGAGGACCGCGAACTCTCCTAACTAAATATGATAAGGTGTTCTTACTTAAGACCTAAGAAAACTTATATAACACTTACGAATTTTAAAGTTTTTTATAGTTTTAATCTCTGCACTTAAGATGAACATTAAAACATGTAGAAAAAGTACGAAAAGATTGTCGCCAATGTGGGAAACGTACCCACGTCTTCGGCATTCGCGGCCTGACGCTCTAGCCACAGAGCTAAACGGCTGATAGCCACAGCGACGAAGATCTTAACGCCTTCTTTCTACATTGTCATTTAGCATTTGAAGCAATGATCGGCGCATCTATTGTTATATCTTTTCCAGCACACAAACAATTTTGAATATCGTTTTACAACGATGATTCGGACGAGAGAGGTCGCCATTGCTTTTTATAAATTTTAAAGTTTTTTATAGTGCTAATCTCTGCACTTTTTGCTTTCATTGCGTAATAACCTATGGGAGAGTCAGATCCCATCAGCTTGAAACGTCTCACCATTTTAGATAAGACCGCGCGTGTGCTCATTCGTGAGATAGCTGGGGGTGGTATGAAGCTCCCTGGATTGTAAGGACCTAGAAAGTAGCCCAACACTCCTCTATTTAAAACAACGAATAGTAAAAAAAATTACATGCTTTTTCGGTTGACTCGTAAGGAAAACCTTATATTTTAAGATGACTAATGACGAGGTTTTACAGCCGAACGAAATTCAATTCATACTTGTGCCTACAAACAAACACAAGATACTTCACCATAGTTAAACGCACGCATGAGCACATGCGCGGCCCTACCCACAGCGGAGGGCCCAAATCCGTCGGTTCTGGCTAGCCCACCGGTTCTGCGTCAGATGAAGCTTTAATAGTCTCGGGACTGAAAGCAAAAACATCAGTTAATACAAGATACAAGAAGATACTTCATGAGAACGCAGTAAAAGTGTATCAATAAGTATATAAAAGGAAATACTCTGCGATACTCATAATGCAGTGAAGGTTTTTAAAATTTAATAAGCCAAAGCAGTTTAAAACGGATGAAAGTCAATAAATTTAGTTTTGAATCGGTATCAGACTAGCTGTTAAGCAAATTCGTAGAGAGTGACGCACTTATATACTTATCGTAAGCAAATATATGCTATTAAATGCATTAATAATAAAAATCTCGTGTTATAAAAGACAGAACGAACAAACAGATAAAGAGATACTGCTTTTTTAATAAAGTACTAGACATTACCCATGGGCTTTCCCAGAAATAACATAGTAATAATATCTAGCGTATTATATATCTTAATGAATATTTTTTTAGAAATTGTACTCGAATCCATTACAACCTATTTATTTAACAAATAGATAGCATCTGGATGTTTGTTCATATGTACTTTTTGTAGTAAAACGTTCTTACAACACGTAATATAATAACAAGGGCAAAATGTTGAAACATACTTTTACGTCAGCTTTCGTATTCAAGTACATTCTCGAATTAAAGTTCGAGGCATGAAAGAAACAGCAAACTGTACAAATACAAATCAAAATTATTATTTTTATTATCCATTAAAATCTGCCCAAGAAATGCAATTGTTCTGTTTAAACTTCCTCATTTCTAATGCTTTGTTACGATATTTTTATTGACGCAAACTCTGGGCAGTGTTGGCTGCAATGCCACCGAGTTGCAGTCTCAAGTGACGAGTATATATCAGAAAAATCCTCACTTCTGCCTTAAATACACTTATGATATGGTATGGCAGATACATGACGATGTTACGGATTTTTTTATTTACGTAAAATCTGGACAGCGCTGGACTGTCATGCCACCTGATGGTAAAATGCTGTCCAGTCTTATGCGATAAGAACACATCAGTAAAAGCCTGCTCTTGCCTCGAAGACACTTACGCCCGGTCTTTGAAACACTGATCAAAATGATCAATTAAAATAGTTTAACCATCCTTTTGTTAATAAAAAAGACAATTGAAAATCCATTTGATAGCTGATTAGTTAATTTCTACGATGATCAGAGTTTCGGAAACCGGGCGTTACAGTACGGTACGGCATTGCCGCGTATAACCTTGGAGTCGAGGTAGTTGTTGACGCTCCCGGAGCTGTCCGAGCTGCTGCTTTGGATGCTGCCACCGCTGCCACTCAGGCTTCCGCTGCTCTTGCTGAGATCCGAGTCCGACTCTATCCAAAGCGGCGAGCGGTACTTGAATTTGTGCGCGAACGCGTTGAATTTTGACTCGTTCGACATGTCTATGAAACTATTCCTCAAAGCCAACCAACAAGGTCAATCGAGGATTATTATGTAAGTTGTGTTATAACAAATTAACCATGTCACAGGATTACTAGAAAGCTTCGCGGGAATCGATCAAGTCCATAACCTCATTCTTGAGTTAAGCGGCATCATTTAAATTACTACGAGTATTTTCAAATAAATAATAAACGTCTTCACAAAGGATCACTGCTATATTAAACACTGTTTTGCTAAATTCACATATGTCGGTACCTACAAAACTTCTACTAGAATATTCAGGAACACAAGTGTTCTTCGTTTAAACTTTTCTTTGCACGACACTATAGCATGGCAAATATAATATAATTTGATCTTTCGATGACCACTGAAGTCATTTGTTGATACACCTCACAGTCTTAAGTAATGTAGAACGCGATAATCGCGGTGTTAACCGTGTACTTTCGATACAAGCTAAGATCACGGGCAATTTCGAAGGGGATTGAATGTAGGCAAACAGGCCACGGCAACGTCCTACCGGTCAACTGCGGACGCAGACTTTATTATTATTGCTCCTGTATTAGTTCTCATAAAACGACTTTCTGAATTTCAAACAAAATATTTAAGTAATTCAAATAAGGGCAATTTTTCAATTCTCTTTAGTAGCCACAGACTTTTTCAAACGTCGAAATGCTTTAGTATTTCATTCGGTAATTTCTCTATCTCTATTATTAGCGACGTTCTTTTAATGGTCTCACGTTATCCATTGGTTCGCCTTAATGGCCCAAATCATCCAAGTTTGTATAAATATTCTCATGCAATGATATCAGTACTACAATTCTATGTAACATTCGCAGTTTGTCGCCAGCGCCTTTGACAAGAGGATGATAAATATGTTTTGTAACATTATTTTTTAACACGTAATGAGGAGGCCTAGATTTGTTTATATGCTACACACAAAAGTGGTTACATCTGTTTGTTACTCTATACTTCTAAACGAATTCACCCAATGATGTATATTCAAACTAACATTTGCTTACTACTATTACCATGGTTTACAAACATGCTGGGTTATAGCGCCATCTATCGGATAAACTTAAGCAATGTCACTCACTCAAATAAGGAAACAAAACTCAGACATGTTCTGATCACCAAGACTTTCAGAGACACTACACGGATAGCGAGACTGTAACAGATTGCATGGACGGTCAAAGAGATGAATAAAAGACAAAATTAAGTGGTCACCACGTTCCGTTTTATGTGTTCGACCACACAAGGGACGAAAATGTGTGTCCTCGATTTCACGATTTCCTACAAAGCGATTATTTCCAGTGTGGAAAGTTTTAGGAAGAAATAGATGAGACTGGTGACCACCAGTAAAATAAATAAATTAATTATAAAAATAATATTTCTCCAAAAATGGAAATGGACCGGCCATATGTTGAGATCTACACAAGAAAAGTGGAGCAACAACGAATTGGTATCGAAGAAATGGCAAAAGACATCGAGGTCGACCACTAATCCACTGGAAAGATGAGCTGAAACTTACTGCGAGACCCAAATGGAGGAGAATTGCTCGAGACAGGAAGCAATGGAAACTACAGGAGAAGGCCTTGGCCAAAAAGGACACTGAGTTGTTAGACTTCCTATAACGAAATGAACCAAGCAATGCAGCCATAAAGATTAAATCTCTCACCCAATTTAACGGGCTAAATAGATATTCCTTGCTGGTTCAGGGCGAATCCAACTAAAAATAAGTACTTTTATGTATAATAATTAAAAAAAACGAAAACAAGATCATTTCTTGCCGTTCCTTCTCTGGATAGATCCAGTTTAGTGAACCGGATTAAAAAAATTTATGCACCAGTGTTTAATTAAAACATTCGTAATTGCATAAAGACCGAATATAATAAAGGGAAACTTAGACGCTGTTAAAAGCCGTCTAGCGTATTTTAATTTCAGCGAACGAAGTCGGGGGTCAGTGTTATATGTAGAATGGATTGAGAAACTCGCGAGCTGCGGTTGAGCAACACGGCAGGATGTGGTCGAGCAATTTTCAATTGGCGTGCAGAGCGAATCTCAGTGTCATTCAGCGTCCAGCTAACGTGATGCGACATTAGTCATATTAAGGTACATTTCTTCCAAAGTCAAAGTCAACATTTCTTTATCCAATACAGGCTTTTTTAAGCTCTTATTGAATGTCAAAAAGTACCACCGGTTCACTAAACTAGACCTGTCCGGAGAAGGACCGGCAAGAAACTATGCGGTCTTTTTAGGGTTCCATACACGAAGGGTGAAATGGTACCCAACGAAATTAATTTGAAACCGCGTCGGAGGTAAATTGAACGCAATGAAAATTGATTTACGTCATCGCCTCCTTTTTTGACGTCAGTCAATAATAAATTCGAATAAAATTATAATTTCAGTCAGATTTTTATGTGAGAAAAAGTCTAAATAATGACCTTGAGTCGTTCTTCTACAAGGTCGCGGTGCTTCGCCGGATGTAGTTCTATCGCAAATCTGTTTGTTTGTTTATGTGAAAAGTTGCCAAACGAGCAGACGGTTCACCTGATGTTAAGTGAATACCGCCGCCCATAGACATCTGCTATACCCGAGGGTTTGCAGATGCGTTGACGACCTTTTTAGAAATTGAAAAAAAATTTTAGAGATAATTAATCTCCCAACCAAATTCGTCTGTCCCATTAAAAAAGGTTACCCAAACATACCTCGATAATACACAAGTGCAATTTCCGACGGTTAATCTTATCACAACGACTTGTTTTAAAGAGATAACCGACTTCTTTAATAGAGCTAAACACTTCACTAATACAAAGATAACATATGTTTTGTAACACTTGTAATGTAATTATTAAATTTATTACATTGTAAAAAGTTAATGTTGAGGTTTACTTCTTTTCTATCGTTTCGGAAACTCTCATCGCTTATGCGCTGAATTATAGACGAGAAAATTATCTATATTTAATTTAAAAAAAACCTTAAAAGTCTGTAGCAAGCTTTTGAAAATACATTTTTGCAATTAAACCTACACAGAACTACAAAAATAAAGGGTCACACTGAAAAATCAAGTTGTCCCCAAAATTGCTCCTTTCAATAGTATCTTGTAAATAGGTTAGCAATGCTCAATCTAAAAAGTGTATATACGAGTTATAGATTAAATAAAGGAAACTCAATGTTTTGTACAATAAAATGTAAAATTAGAACAACAAACATACGTTTTCGCTAATTGTCATCTCTTGTTGTTGTTCTTGATTGCCCACAATGTTGCTATCACTTTTAATTTAAACAGAGTATATAAACGCATAATTCTGGTGAATACACGTGGTTTTGCTCTGCATCGTTCCAGACTTCACACGCATCTTCGAAATATTTGTTTTTTTTTAAACATTTCCTTATATGAGGTGTTTACCCTCGCGATGTTTTCCTTCGCCGCTTATCACGGGATGAATCAGCACTATAAATTGCATGTAGAACTTTACCCACATAGCAACCATATAGAGATAACATATTGTCTCTTTAGAAGTGATCGCGTGGTTAAAAACCGCTTGTATCAACGTCAAGTACTATGTTCGAGGCTGTGTCAACTGGGGGTCCTGACTTTTAGCTGGTAACCTTATCGAGGTATGACGTAGGGTTTCTATTCAGAAAAAACGAGCAATCGTTTGTATTTTTAGGGTAATGTTGCCAGGCGAGCAGGCAATTCCCCTGATGTTAAGTGAATACCGCCGCCCATGGACATCTGCTACACCCGAGAGTCGTAAATGTGATGACAACCTTTTGAAAAAAGGGCTCCAGCTACCTCACTCACCAGACGAAACGCGAAAGGATTATACCTTCCATTTCACGCCGGTATTCTGTCAGGTGGTGTTCGAATTATGTATATTAATTAATGGTAATATTTATACGGATATGGTAATATTTATGGTGTATAATAATTATGGGTAATATCTCAGAAGCAAGTCGTATGACTTAGTATATTACCCAAAGGGTAAAACACTATTACTAAGACCCTGCTGTATTCTTTCCGTCAGCTTTGTCACAGGAGCTCGAGGGTTACAGATGCGTTGACAACCTTTTGAAAATTGGGCTCCGGCTACCTCACTCACCAGACGAAACGCGAAAGTATTTATCATACTTCCACTTTACGCCGGTCTTCTGTGAGGTCGTGGTACTTACCCGGACGGGCCTGCCCATTCGTGCAACAGCCGAGGCTGCTGCGTGGCCCTACCACCGTTTTTTTATAGTTATCTTATTTATTCGATTACGTCATCTTCAATGAATCTGTTTCCATTTTTTACTATAATAATAACATAAGTTTTAACATTTATAAGTAGCTTGATAACAATCGTATAATTGATTTTACTCTTGGTCGTCTAATGAAATCAGGTACTTTCCAAATCATCCTTACTACATGTATCGCTTCTTAAAATCATCCTAGTGTTATATTAGAAAAGAATTTTGCAAAAGGCAATCGACTGAACTTACATTACTACCTTCTTTCTTCCCTAAAGCGTCTCCCACATCAGTCTGCATTACTTCCGGCGGCGAAATCGACGCCCCCTTTAGCTGACTCCGATAAACGACAGGGCTGTCACCGCCAATTGTCTTCTCGCCATTCGAGTTGTTCGCGTCACCATCCCTACCGTCGAAAGGTTCCACGAACTTGACCTCTGGTGTGCTGGAGCGGATCTCCGCAGTTTCCTTATCGCTTAAGGGGCTGCCTACCACAAAACCAACAGCCGAGGTCTGAGCGTCGTCCCCATCTATATACTGAAGATCGTTCGCCGATCGATTCGCCTCCAGGATCAGGCGCTTCGTCTCCACGGGCATTTCCACGTAGTCGTGTGGATACGAAGGGATTTTTATCCGGAGGTCCGGTTTCTTCCGGACCCTCATTGTTTATAGCTTAGAACCTCTAAGGTGAACGAAAGTGGCTGCTCAATTGTGCCAAAGCATTTCACGATAAGGTATCTCGATTTTCGCGCTCGGAACACGCGAACTGGAGGAATATTCACTTCACAAACGACTTTAGAATGAATCTTTGCGCACTATTGCCAAGTTTATTGCGAAAAAATTCGCTTGTGCAGTTTCCAGATCGAGCTGCACCCGTTAGTAAAACAATCGCCACACTGCGTAGGCAACCGTACACTAGGAAGTAGTGTAACATTTCTTTAAATCATTATCAATTGATATCTTTCCTTTGATACGCACGTGACGCGGTGATAGTGAACGCTTTGTCAAAAATGTTTGCCGAATGTTTGATCGCCGCATTGCTATGCTCGTCTCTTACGTATCTCCGCACGCAATTGTTCAAATGTGGCACGTAGTTCTTTTTTTTACACACACACACACACACACACACAAGCGAGAAGGTGGTCCACCTAATGTTAAGCGGACACTGGCGCCCAAGAACCTGAGGGGCTTGCAGATGCGTTGACAACCTTTCAAAAAGTGGGATCCGGTTACCTCCCTCGCCAGACGAACGCAGAATAATACATACTTCCACTTAAGGCCGGTTTTCTATGAGGTCGTGTTGTCATGGTACTTCCCGGGATGAGCCTGCCCATACGGCCAACAGCAAAAGCTTTTGCGTGGCCTAGTATTTTCAAATGAACATGGCAATTAATGGGTGTTGGGTCTCTACAGACGAATATCATAAGAGAGCCAATTACCAATATATACAACGGATACTGATGCTTAGCTCTGATAATTTTGACACACACATAAGACAAGCGCTTACATTTATTGTGAGTGTGTGCAAAATTATCAAATTGTCTTGTGTGTGTGTAAGCTTAAGTTGATTAAGCTGTTGGTTTCGGAGCATGAGGTCTTTTATAGTAGTATATGTATTAGGTTCTACTTCAGAGAAATAATTCCTCCCTTGGTTAGCTATTATGGCCTTAGCTAATAATATTTATTAGCTAAGGCCATAATAGCTAAGTTATATATATAAAAAAAGTAAACATTTTCCGCGATATCATTTGAAATTAACGCACTTTCACGATGCCATTCAATTCATTGGCCAGCGACGGAGCTCGTAGCGGTTATTAATAGTTTCCAGAAGGGACTAAGAAGGGATCCAAATAATACGCACGGTACATCTTAAACTCGTGAAACTTTTAAAGCATCATTGAACCCAATGATAGTGGGTCTAAAAGTAGTCTGACCTCACCAGTTGATACGGCTCTCCTCGCTGGGTGGTCCGTGAGTGAGTTATCTATTTGGGAGGAATGACAATTACGAACCATCGAAACTTGGTACGGATCGTGACCTCGATGACCGTTGACTATGTCAATCGATTGCTGGGGGCGATGAGAGCCGCCCTGGAACGCGTGTACCTTGGTTGGTTGGTGGTTTTACCGTGCGTAGGTGAGGAGGAACTAGCTGTATGTATGATTTAACGGTGGTAGAGCCACGCAGCAGCCTCGGCTGTTGCACGAATGGGCAGCCCCGACCGGGAAAGTACCACGACCTCACAGAAGACCAGCCTAATGATGACGAAGACTTTCGCTGGTTTCGTCTGGTGAGTGAGGTAGCCGGAGCCCAATTTTCAAAAGGTTGTCAACGCGCTTGTAACCCTCGGGTATAGCAGATGTCCATGGGCGGCGGTATTCACTTACCATCAGGTGAACCCTCTGCTCGTTTGGCAACTTTTCACATAAAAAAATATGATCTGTATACAGATCCCCAATATACTAGCAATATATTAGCAGCCTATTGATTTCAATGACCACATTGATCTCTGAACGGTCCATAGCCTTAGATATTAATCGATGCCTGAGCCAGCTAACGGAGCTTAACAGCCTTCACAATGGTTCCAGCTACGGCGCTACATATTACATAAATTGAGTGCATAAATTATGGCACGCAACAGTCTCCGCTGTCGCACGAATGGGCAGATCCGGGGAAGTACCACGGTCTCACAGGAGACCAACGTACAGTGGAAGTATTACCGACGTAAAGCAAAAGTGTTATACTTCTGCATTTTGTCTGATGAGGTACCTGGAGCCAAATTTAGTAAAAGGCGGCAATGCTTTTGCAACCTTCCGGGTGTTGCAAGTTTTAGGCGGCGGTTATCACTTAACATCAGGTGAACCGTCAGCACGCTTGTCGCCTACTCAAATAAAAATAAATTCCGTATCGTAAATTGACACATTGAATGCATTATCTCGCATTGTCGGATAACAACTGGACTTTGCGCGAATCACCCGTCGGATTAGCCGCCATATCGCAGACTTTATTGGGCACATTTCCGAGCGAAACCGACGCAAAAATTGGGTTGGCACTTTAATTGAACAAGGATAAAGGACGATAAAGAGACGGCTTTCGTCGGTCTGTTTGTTCGTCTTATCGTTTCCTCGGCTTAACCCGAAATTGTAGCGTGCAAATACCACCAAACAATCCTTGTACTTCTTTCTAACATAATGACCAGATAATTACGAATGATAAAAAAATTCGAACACTCCGAAATGAGCAGAATTTCGATAGCGAGACTGATTGCTATTAATTAGGACCATGAATTCTTATGACTTTTCATTAATTGTTCCTGATGTTTTTTTGTGAGTGAAACTCCTCGACACACGGAATTATTTTATGCTATAGTACCCCATAAGCAAATAAAAAAAACTGAAAAAAAAACAAATCTTTAAAATTTATTAAACTCGGCGATGAGTAATATGGTTGTCAGTGTTGATGCAATTTTATAACGCATACCTAAACTTATATTTGGAAACGAAAAATTAACACATCTTTATCTTAAGTAATTATTTTTTTTAGTGCTATTAAAATGGTTTCATATCAAAAATACATACTTCGTCAGGTTTGTGCCTCCGTGTTAAAAACGTAGACACCTTTAGTTTGGTCGGTATATACCGAATTATATAATAAATGTATATAAGACCGCCCCTTAGACTCCAAGACTGTCTCTCAGTAATACTATAAACGTGAAAGTTTGTGTTTCCCTAGAAGCAACAGCGGCGAATGGATTTCTTAATCTGTATTGACTTTTTATTATGTGTAAGATATGGAAAACTAGCAATAGCTTCACCTGACGGTATATGACCCCAACGTATTTAAATTTTTATAGTGCTAACCTCTGCACTACAAATTATTCTACAAATTTATAAAACCCCCACTTATGGTCACTTACGCCGTGCATTCAAAGTTTTAGGAGTAGATCTCCGCATATCTCATAAACTATAAAGAGGTGAATCTTTGAGGCTCGCTGGGTCAGGTGATCGTATAGAAAAAAAAACCGCAAAGAACTCCAAAACTACTCACCCCATCCTCTGGGCCCGCGTACTGCTGCTTCAATACCTCCGACTCGAGATTCTGCAGCGTTGGCATTGATATGGAATTCCTCCTGAGGCCCGTCCGCCTCTGCTCCAGCCCGGACTCCATTGCGATCAGATCCCTGGACTCTGATGCGCCGAACGCCTTCGACGTTCCCGGTGAAAGCTCCGAGAGGTCCGTTGACTCAGTGCTCGGACTGGTCGGCTTGGACTTCGATTCCGGGTCCAGGGTTATGTACAGAGTCCCCTCGGGTGTGTCTACAACTATAGTGTCGGTATTGGGCGAGCGCACTGGACCCAGGTCGCTTAAGTGTATCTTCCTCTCCCCTTTCGGCAGCAGCGGCTCCGTATCTTCCCTCTCATTCTCTTCGTGCGCTTTGGCCGTTCGCACGTGGTCGAGTTCGACGTATTCGTCCACGAACGGTATGGTGGCGTTCTTGCGCAGCTCCGGCGAATTAAGGCCTTTAGCTACTCCCTCGCAAGGGTCGTTTTTGTGTGCACCGCTGGCCATCCTCACCGCCTATTTCATAGTAGAGACCTGGAATGAAAACAATCGTGTCAAAGCTTCTGATTGATCGTGTCAAAGCTTCTGATTGATCTGTTTGATTTTCTGTGAAATCATATTTTTCGGATAATACTACGTATATAAGTTTCTTCGTGTTGTGGTAAGATCACTGATATGCGATCACCCACATCAGTGTAAACTACTTTTTTTGTGTTTGTAAAATAATAGAACGGTCAAGAATTGCAAACGAGAATAAGTTTGATAATGGAAAGCAATACACAAAATATCTTTACATGGGACCAAAAAATACCAGCAGCTTTAGCGTCAACTGGTAAAATCGATTAATATCTAACTAAAATCAGTTTGCAACAGGATTTTGTATCACGTTCTTAACTAAAAGAGCCGACCGACGTTTCGCATACAAGTATCGTCTTAATGATTAGTACCGCCATATTTGTGGTGTGAATCAAAGTCGACGGAAAAACGCACGTCATGCGTCGCACCAGCAGGTACTTTCTGATCGCTTTCAGTCTCGAGCCATATAAAGCTTGTAACGTAACAAAAATTATTTAAAAACTAACGGACCGGACAGACGTTGTCCTGTACACACGACTTAAATCGGACATCTTATAAAAAAAATAAATTAGTGGACCGAAAAGTGAATCTAAGCCATTCTCGAATGCATTCCACAAAAAATTTCATTAATATCGGTCCAGCCGTTTGGGATGAGTACAGTAACAAGAATATATACATAAAGATATAACAAAAACCTTATACGTAGGAGTGATAATGAAATCATATCATAAAATAATCTAAAGTACATATATTTTATAATAATTGTTGGTGCTTATAATTTGGATTTTGGTTTTAGACATCAAACCCATATAGGTAGAGTAAGTATTTTATAAATTAGCCTAAACATTAATAAAAAAGGGTTTATAATTCGTTAAAGATAATATCTTTAACGAATTAAATAAGCGAAGCAATAACAGTGCAATAACTTTTTATTTCTGTTTATCAATCAATTTTCTGTATTTTATTAAGTAGCCATTGACGAGCCTTGTTGCGTGTTAACCATAAACAACAAATTAGAAATTTTAAAAATGCTCAAAATAGTATTATTACGTATTTTAGTAATAATAGTATATTAATAATAGTATAGTACATAATATAATATATTAATAATAGTACTTTCATAGTAATAATACTCAAAATAGTATTATTACGTATTTCAACAATAACTAGTTATTTTAAAGCACAGTTCCTTTCAAAGACAACGCTTTGCCTAACCTCTAGTTTTTCTTATTATAACTAGAATTTATGGAGCTATCGAAATATAGCTTATAATAAACGACGAATGCTTTGAATTTATTTATTATTGTTATTATATGTTGTGATAGCAAATAATAACTTTAGTATAATAATGGACCATAAACAATAATCACTTTACGTCATGAATGCGTAATCACTTATATTTGGATTCCATACTTTGTTTTTACTTCAACCGCTATGGCAAAAGAGTTTTGAATAAGATTTGAATAATTTGCACGATATTTAAAAGTCCTTTTTACATATCGTGCAAATTATTCAAATATATCAGATCAATTAATATTATTACAGATAAATTGTCGAAACATTTTTCATGCGCTTCTGGATTCGAGTATTTTCCGAAATTTATGTATAAAATTCAGATTTAAATTTCATTATAATTTAAGCAGAACAAAACCGAGATGCGACTGCAAGACTCATCACCCTCACCCTGATGAAGAACCGCCGATAGCTCCGAAACTGGTCGCTCCATATATCGATAAATACAAACATAAAAAAAAAACAATAAATAAAAATCGAGGCGAGTTGGACTCGCGCACCAAGGGTTCCGTGCCATTAAAACGGCAAAAAGTTGTGTCTGTTGTATAGCCCCACTTAAATATTTTTTATTCTGTGTTTTTTGTTATGTTTCTTGTTATGTTTAACAGAAATACATCACCTGTAAAAATTTCAACTGTATAACCATCACGATTCGTGAGATACAGCCTGGTGACAGGCGGATTAGACGTCTTAGTAATTGGGTCCCGTTTTACCCTTTGGGTTCGGAACCCTAAAAATTTATGAAAGCTTTTTAACAAAAAAAGAACCGACTTCTAATAAAATGATGTAGGCAACTATTACAACGTTACACGCAAAACAATGCATATTTATGCGATAGCAGCAATCACGGTTGATTTCCTGTCATATTTCGAAGAGTTCCGTTGCTAATTTCGAAAATCATAATCTGATCTATATGAAATTTATATAGGACCAGTTCGGAATGAATGAAGAATTTTGCAAATCCGTCTATATATGACGAAGTTATGCCCGAACATTAGTAGACTCGTCTGGGTAAGCAACCATACGGGTGTTGCAAATATCCATGGGCGGCGGTTATCACTTAACATCAGGTGAACCGCCAGCTCGCTTGTCACCTTCTCACATAGAAAAAACATTTGTAAATGATGGAGTTCTGAGGTAACGAACATGCATTAATAGCCTCCTTTTCGAAGTCGGTCGAATCACACTCGGTCTAAACGCGAATTCTTTCTCATTGTACGTAACGGCGAAAGTAAACTGTACTAGTTTGCGCACGTTGCTGTGCCCACGTGGATGTTTGCTCGGGCCTCCGCTAAATGCTTGATTACACAAAGATAATCCCGGACAGAGGCTACTGTGCGTTCGGCCTTCGTCCGACCGCCATTTTCGCGTTAGCATACCTGAAAACCGTTCGGCTGTTTGCTCATGTATATAGACAACGATATCTATCTTCAAATCTCTGTATATTAATACGCGAAGCAATAATTTTGAACAAAAAACCGATTTCAGGAAACTAAAAACATTGTCAACACCTATAACATTTGAGGTTTGTCCTCGATTTCCTTATCATGGAAATATATACCCTTGGGATATCTCCTTTCCAACAAAAAAAGATTCATCAAAATCGATCGGTTCATAAATGACGAAGTTATCCGCGAACACACATACAAAAAAATAAACTTCGCCACCTTCAATAAAGTGGGCCCCGGTTATCTCACAAACAAGACGTAACGCAGAAGAATAGAACTCTCAATTCACGCCGGTCTTCTGTGAGGTCGTGGCACTGCCGTGGCACTGTGGCCGGAGCCCAATTTTCAAAGGGTTGTCAACGCATCTGGAACCCTGAGGTGTGGCGGATGTCCATGGGCGGCGGTATTCACTTACCATCAGGCGAACCGTCTGCTCGTTTGGCAATTTTCACGTAAAAAAAAACCTAACCCGGACGGACGTGCCCATTCGTGCAACAGCCGAACCTGCCACAATACAAGTAGTTGCCTATTAAATTTTCCCACGAAACTTTTCTCTTTACGAAATACGGCCGAATAAGAGAAACTTCTCGTTTGGACCGATTGTGATCTTCAACCGACTTCGAAAAGGAGGTACTCAAAGCAATCGCAAAATTTTTTCGCGATGTAATGCTAATGTGGTGCTCTTTTTGGTGCGTTGATTTCTAATTTTAATTGTTATTTTTATTTTATGTTTTGTTTGTTATGTACCAAAAAATATTTTTTTCTTTCAATGTATGTTTGTCACCTCAGTGCTCCGTCATTTATGAAACGATTTTAAAAATTCGTTTTTCATTGAAATTTTTTTTAGGACACATTTTACACAACATTTTCCAGTCCCAAACTAATCATAGCTTGTACTATGGGTACTAGAAAACTGATAAACATACTTAAACATACTTTTCTTTTGTAAATAAATACATATTATACATGTATAAAGTGTCTGGGACTAGAAAAACACTATGTTCATCACACAATATTTTTCCAGTAGTGGGGATCGAACCTACACCCTCTGGCGCAGGAGGCGGCGGGTACACTACCCACTACGCCATTCGGGTCGTCCTTGGTTAATTGGTTTAGCTCCCATTACCCATATCATTAGTATTGTTTTTTGTTAATAACACTTCTATTAATAAAATAAGATTTCGCCGCGTCTTTGTTTGATTCTTTCACAAAACGTCAATATTACGAACGATAAGTATTTCCTATGGTCATCAGCTTCCAGCCCTTATCCCACCTAGATGGAGCTAGTTTTTTTACGCCTGGCCGCCTGCTTGACCAACATACCTTGGGAAACAAACACCCAACTTTAGCTAATACCTTCTCCGCGCCACCGACTCAAGTTTTTCATATAGTTCGAGTATTGAAAATGCGATAAATGAATCATGCAGTATAGTGCATATGTTCCGTGTGGTAAATTAAAGGATTTCCACGTGTCTATGGAATTGTAAAAACAAGAATCTCTATTTTCATAGCGGGAAGAAAAGAACTTGCTTCTGATTTGGGCTTATGACACCTCTAACACGCCGTTATAGACCGCCAATGTGTCACAATATTAATTAGTTCCAGTTACACGTACGGTAGCGTTGCTAACCGCAAAATAAGGATAAGAATTTAATAATTATAATGACTGCTTATCGAAAACGCACTACGTGCGTACAAAATTCGAATAATGCCTAGTCAGTGTGATTATATATAGTGTATATTTAGTTAGGATATTGGAAGAACGTTTCGTTGAAATGTTCCCATTGCAAGCGTCTTATTTTTTACAATGCAAATTTCGTCGATGCTTTTGAATATATATTTAATAATAAAATTTGCAGAAAAAAAACGTCGAAAAGTTTTTTTTCGGTGTGGCAATCGGCCGTTTAGCTGAGTGGTCATAGCGAAATCCGAAAAGTGTGACGTCGATTTCCGTAATGGCGAGAAACTTTTCGTCCTTTTTTCTGCAAATTATAATAAAAAAATAAAATGTGCAACAGTTTCGCTGCCATTATATATCCATCTAAGCAATAATATATTGATGTAAAATATAGAGCAAAGTCAGAGCGTTCGTCGCACTGACTTTGCTTGAATTTATTTATTTAATTCATATTATAAGAAGTAAATATAATAAAATAATGCGAAATTTACACGAAATTCAATACATTTAGC